TTTTCTGATACTTTTTTTAAGAGTCATTTAAAAATGGAATTTGTTAACTTTTCTGCGTTGTCTGAATTATTTTGAATTAAGGGAGGAACAATTTATTTTTTAGAAAGCCAACCACATAGCTGGTCACTGAGAGCTTGAAGTGTGTTTCCCAGTGGCTCCTCAGTTCTGCATGTTTCCCATCCCACTGAGGTCCACAATCATCAAAAGTCAGACTCTCCGAAAAAGACTCTCTCAAACACTACTGAACCTGGCCTCTTCTTAGTAGAAGTAATCACAGAGACTAGAGGTGGACTTTTTTGTCCTGCTATAGTGCTTTCTAAATGAATCTTTCTTCTGTTAAGATGAACAGGATGAGAAGCATATATGAATCCTTTATTACAGGAGGTTCAGAGAAATTGTCCCACTTAAGGGCCTTGCCTCATCATTATTTAATAGTTTTTCATCTAAATAATATTAACTTTCATCTGTATCAGTCTTTTTAAAAAGTTACTTTTAAAAGTACTTTTAAAAAATTATACTTTTTAAAAACTTAAATAGCCCATGAATGTTAGAAGGTGCTTCCTCCTGTATTTCTCTACAAAACATGACCTTTGGAGCCAGATAGCCCTGAGTTTTCATCTATTGCTCTCTAGATTGTATCTCAGATTGGTTAACCTCTCAGTTTTATCTTCCTTTCTTATAAAGTGGAATAAATTCAGTTTTTCATTCAGTATATTGTGTTTTTTCTGTGATAGGGACTGTGCTAGATGCTGTAGATAGGAAGATGCAATCCCAGCCCTTAAGGATTTTATAGTCTATTAGAGCTGAGAATTAGGTATGTCAAAATCTGACATAGTAATAATACACTTTAGGTCTCTTTTCTCCCTTTCCTTCCCCTGTGAAAAATGAGACAGAAACCAAGCTCCCCAACACGTTAGGTGACAACTCCAGGTCGCAAATTCAGTCAGTGGGAGAGCCAGGAAAAAAGTTTTGAGTCTCTCCAGTCCAAGTCTTACTTCCCTGTCCCTTTCTTGCTTTGAAGGAGACATGCATTTGCACTGTAAACAAAACAGAAGGCAGGCCTGAGCTTGTCATCTAAAGTAAAATAAGGGTGCTAATATTTTCTTCTAAGCCTAATTTTGTGAATAGTGCATTTTTACCTCCAGTGCGTGATTTGGCATAAAGTATAATAATTGTTGCCAATTCAAACAAAAACAACTATCCTGTTCCTAATGGGGCAATTGAGCAACTGGATATGCTTCATATGCAGCATGTTTTCTAGCTGTAGACCAGTATGTTTACCAAGTGTGAGCCCTTGGGTCAATACATTTTGAAGAATGCATCAAACCAAAGACCCCAAAAGTGGAAATCACAAACCATTTCAGAAAAGCAGTAGCAAAATTTTTCCTGCATTAGATGTATAAATAATATAGGGCCATCAGAAATTCTATTTTTATCCAGAAAGGAATCTCACATAGCCTCTTGACTGTTAAGTCTTTGTGTGTGCTGAGGTTCAGTCTGAATGACAATTTCCCAGAGAAAAGCAGTATACCAGTGGTTCCTACAATGCATTTCAGTGATCATAAAAGCTGTAAATATCCTATAATATTTTAAAAATTAGAATGGGCAAAAGTAGAATAAAGGCACAATAAATAACTAAGCACAGGAAATCAAACTGACACTTTACAAAGGGGAGCTAGTATTATTGAATCTGAAAACACTTTGAATCTCAATAGTAATCAAAGAAATATAATTTTTTTTTTTTTACCAGATGCTATCAAACTTTGTTGAGTGTAGCAATGTAGAAAGAACCATATGATTTTAAAACAAATTTTGGCCCAGTAGTTCTATGCTGGGGACCTTACCTTAAAGAGGTATTCAGAAAATATCAGCACAGAGGTATTTAGTAGTCTTTTATTTCTGGTAATTTAAAATCAGAGCCATCTAAATGTCTAAAATTAGGGGAATATTTAGCAAGTAAGGATGGAAGTCTGCTTGGTGTAATACTATGCAGCCAAAAAAAAGTAGATAAAATTTACACAAAAAGATGGAAAACTGCTTATGACATGTTTCATGAAAGCAAATTGAAAAACTGTTTACTGATTACAAATATGTAAAGGTCATATGTGCAAAAGACTAGTATATAAATTATATTAATGTGGTGATAATATGGGTGCTCTCACAATTCTGTTTTCTGTATGTCCTGTAATGTAGTTGTATTAATTTGCTAATTTAAATTATATATTTGAAAGAGGAAAATACAATTAAAGTTGAATTTAAAGGAAATAATTTTCTCTGCTTAAATAGTCTACACTGCTTTTTATATGTATAAAAAGGAGCCATTTAGAAAAGGTATTAGACTTAATCTTTACTAGATTTATGACTATACCAATGAAGGTACAATTCTCAGTTAAATTATGTCTTCCTCTTGATTATCAATTCTTTTTTAAAACTACATGAGGAACTTTACTGTCTTTTACCAGCTCTGAGATCATTAACTTATGAGTAAGCAGGCCGTGTAAATCCACAGTTGGCTAAGGTTAATTTAGTGAGCATTACATTTAGGCAAAACATCAGGCACTAAAGTGCCGTGGGCCACACAGATTAGCTGGTAGTCATAACTACAAACAGCTCTTACAGCATCACCAAAGGAATTCAAAGAACTCACCGAAGAAATTCCCCACGACTCTCAGAGAATGTGATGGAGTGCTACTGGGAACAGTGGCCTGTAGAAAACTTCACAGTGAAGTTAGTCCTGGGAATGTACAAGAAATATGAACACATGGTTTAAAAACCCTTTTAAGTGCAGAAATGTAAAAAGTAAAAATTATGAGTACCCTTTTTAATCCCTATCTCCATATCACTCTCTCAAACTAGTCACCATTAATAGCTTGACATGTGGATTTCTAGTCATTTTTAAAATTAAAAAAAAATACATATCTAATTAATTCTACTGGCCTGTATATGTATATATCCTTTTCTTTACAAATTAATTAGATAATGCCAAACCAACCAACTACTCTTTGCTTTTCTTAATAATATATTCTGAATATCTTTCTCTGTTACTACATATATTTTGTCATACTGTTATCTTCTTATCTGTTTGTTTTTACAGCTGTGTTATTCCATTTTATCATAATTTTCAATTAACATCTTATATGTATCCTTTTCTTCCTAGGATAAATTCTTAAAAGTGGAATTGCTAGGGGAAGGGTGCTTACTTTCACCATTTGGTAGATATTTCAAAATTTCCCTCTAAAAATATCATATCAATAACATTCTCAGAGTTGTACATGAGATAGAAATATTAACTTTAAATTCATTTCCTCCAGGATATCACATCAGTCTTTGGGTTATTAAAATAGAGACTATACTTTTAATATTCTCCTGGAATACTTTGTAATCCACATATCACATTCTGCCTTCTGTGAAAGCTGTATATTTGCTTTCTCTCTCCTGCAAGAGTCCCTTGAGGGCAGGATTTTTATCCTGTACATTATTGTGTCCCCTCAGAAAGCTTGCATAAAGTCAGTACTCAATAAATATTTTGTTGAATGTTGCTTACTAAATATATTTTACCCTTGGCTAGGATATATAGGCAAAGCCATCCAAGGATTAGTTATCAGTGATTCATAATTATGCAACTGAGAAGTAGGCCTAAATTTTAGACATTCCTCGGTGATTTAGTGTCAAAACTTGCTTCCCTTGGGCACAATTAAAAGGGTGTTTGGATAAATTTAAAAATAAATAAATAAATAAATAAAAGGGTGTTTGGTTATTTAACTATACTGATTTTCTTATTTCTCCTTTGACTTTTTTTATTGCTAATGTGAACTGTAGTTTTCATGGAGAATAAAGAGCTTACTGATGTACAATTTAAAAGACATCCCTTCCTGCAGAATAGATTCTTAAGATATAGAGTTATTTTTCCTCTCACAAAAAGACTAAAAAAAAGGAAATATCTTAGATCTATGTGGGTTTGCATAGCTGCCCTTTGAAATATTTTCCTAATGCTTGTGATTTTATATTTTTCTTATCTACAGGATTCTTCTTCATTTTCAAATGGACTTTGTTTTTCAAATATTCTGAGAAATTTGGCTACATTAGTCTGGAGACAATCCTAGGCTTACTAGGTCTATTAGTGTGATGCTACCTGCTATAACCAGCTTCAGAATTTCAGTGGCTTAATATGATAGGAGACTCTGGGGAGTCTTTGGTTGGTGGATGGCTTTTCTCCAGGTAGTGATTCAGGGATCCAGGCTCCTCCATCTAATGGCTCTGTCATTTTGAAGTCATCCAGGCAGATGGGGAAAGGATGGAGAAGGCCAACTCATACTTTATTGTGCCAGCCTAGAAGAGATACACATCACTTTCAGTAACATTATACAGTTTAGACCTAGTTTTAGTCCCATCAAAGAAACAGAGGAGGAGAAAAATGTAGGCCTGGCTTGGCAACTACCACCCAGCAAGAATTCCGCAATATGGAAGGAGGACCACAAGGCTTTTAGTGGACAGTTATCTGTTTCTCACAACCTATTAGCTAGGCAGAACAGGTTTTAATTTTGTAGATAGTAAAGAGGTACTGAAAAGTTGGGACTTTCCAGGTGGCGTGGTGGTAAAGAATCCACCTGCCAATGTGGGAGATGCAGGAGACTCAGGTTTGATTCCTGGGTCAGGAAGATCCCCTGGAGTAGGAAATGGCAACCCATTTCAGTATTCTTGCTGGGGAACTTCCATGGAGAGAGGAGCTTAGCTGGCTGCGGTCCATGGGGTCTCAAAGAGTCAGACATCACTGAGCAACTGAGCACGCACACGCTGAAAAGTTGACATCCCACAGCTAGTTAGCAGTAGAGATGTAATTTAGAAGCCAGATCATGACTTCTGTTCAGTCTATCTTTCCTTAATATTAAATAGTGATCCTAGTCTGGCTTAAAGTATAACCCTCTTAGTGATTCATTACTTCAAATTGCATGTTCTTTTTTTTCCTTTTAATTCCTTTTTCTCCTAAGGAACTGACAATGTCCCTGTATTGTGGAACTGCTTGCAGGAGAAAATTTTTGGGGGGCTATAGGCTGCTGTCAACCTATGTCAATAAGACACGGTGAGTTTTGACCAAGCTGAGCTCTGATTCTTCTATCTTTGGTCCATTAAAATTATAAAATATAAATATCTCAAAATTCTATATTGGGGCTTAAGGATGTATGATTAAGATTTACATGTAAAGATGTTCAATGCAAATTATTTATAGTTAGAGAATTTCTAAACTAAATTTTCAATAATAGCTAAAGTGTCTGACATACTTAAATATAAGTTCTTTTTTTAAGGTAATAATATAGTCTTTTCCACTATGGTACCTCTCATGCATAGAACCCTACTACATGGCACATAGTAGGCACTGAAATATTGTTGAATGGATGAATAAATAGTAAGGGAGAAATTAAATTATGATACAGCCGTTATGATGGAATTAAAACTATATTGAATAATAGTTCATTAATGTTGCTGAAAATAAAGTAGGTAATTCCATTCATGCATACTATGCTTCCCAAACTCCTTCCCCCAAGAACAAACCTCAGTGAAAGGCAGTCTGGAAAAAAGCATCTATACCAGTACAGGAAGATGAAAGAGGACTTCTTTTTCATCAATCTGAGCAAACGTAAAACCTGTGAATTTGAAATCACTAGCCTGCTGTCATACAATTTTGGGGTATAAATTTGCACCATCTATGTGGTGTATTTCCAATTTCCCAACCTGTGAAAAGAATTTAAGTAGCATTTGTAGACCTGCAGAAGCAAGTGTAAAACCCCTCTGGAGGGATACACTCACAACCAGAGCTTTACATGTTGAAAGCTCTCCCATACATGAGTGCCCAGTCCAAAATTTAAAAGCACACAAACATGTACAATCTTATACGAGCAAGAGTGAGAAAACAAATTGCAATACTTGTTTTAGATATTAACATTTGAGTTATTTACAGTTCTCAGGCTGAGACCCTGAGAACAATAACAAAATTACTGAATAGTCTGAAAAATAGAGTGTTAAGGTGATTAAATACATTGAAAATGAATAAAAATCATAAGAAAATAAAATTCTGTCAGTGAAGAATATGGTTTGAAAATGTTAATGTTTAAGAAAAAAAGGCTACAAATTAGTAGATGGAGTCTAAAAGTATTTATTGTACAATTTATTGGATAAATGGTTAATATTAATACATAGTTTGGAGCGTTCTAAGGGATAAACAGTGATCAATCATCTCTGAGTGGTGAGATTCTCGATGATTTCCCTTTTTTAAAAAAATTGGTAACTGCATATTCTAATTTCAGTAGAATGACTATTTTTCAACTTTTATAACAAGAATACAAGAGTTGAAGTCTGTTAATCTTAGTGTGTTGTGGTTTCCATACTATTATATTTAAAAGGAGAAAATGCATTTTTAAGTGACTGATTATTGAGGCATAGTTGATTTATAATGTTTCAGGTGTATAACACAATAATTCACAATTTTTATAGGTTATATTCCATTTAAAGTTATTATAAAATGTTGGCTATATTCCCTGTGCTGTACAATATATCCTTATAGCTTATTTTTTATTGAAATATAGTTAATTTACAATGTTTCAGATGTACAACAAGAAAATGCATTTCTAAAAAACACGTTCCAATCAAGAAGAATATAAGATTTTGGATCTCGGTCCCAGTTGCAGCGAGGCCCTGGGTTTAAAACCTTAACCTGGTTATTTCTGTAGATGTTTTGCTCTTTATGGTCATTAGGGCAAAGCACAGGTTGTACCAGTCTTACTGCTGTTTTACAAAGGCCCCAGTGTGTGTTCTGTTGTCTATGTTAATATTTGGTAACATCCGAGTGGCACCTGTCTCTCCTTTGATATACACTCAGTCTTTGTCCCAGGAGATTACAGTCACTCACAATAACTATAAAAATATCTTGAGTATTAAAATCTCAGGTTCCTTTTGTCTTCTGTTTACAAAGAGCTCATTGCAATCGCTTTTATTGTACAGTCAAAAATAAGTTTCTAAAGATACCACTGGGGCATGTTTATCATTTTGCTTTGTAGTTTCATGTGGAGCTAATGCTACTGGTATTACTAAAGCTCCCAGATTCTACAGAAAATATCTGTGAACTGTATTTCCCACTTTAAGGGACAAAAAGTACTGTATACCTGAGAGTCTGTTTTAGGGATTTCAACCGTCAAAATCATTATGCTGGGAGTTCCCTGGTGGCTAAGTGGTTAGGATCATGGGCTTATGCTGCTGTGGCCCAGGTTCAATCCCTGGCCTGGGAACTGACATCCTGCAAGCCATATGACACAGCCAAAAAAACTGAAACAAAACTAAAGGGGAGTCCACATTCAGCCCTCCCCAAATCACACAGACCTTGCCCTGATTCCTGAGGCCCTTGAAAGGATAGACTCAAGTCATCTTTAATGAAGGTGCAGAACTTGCTCCATTCATTTTCTTTCTTTTTTTTTTTTTTTTTTTTGAGAAGCTAATTATAGGATGCTCTTTTTTCTACAGTTTAATTCTGGCTACTGAAAATATCACACTTATTAAATAAATGTCAAATATGGCTTCCCTTTCATCAGTGGTCCCTTTAGTAGAGATAAGGACCTAATGGCATCCACTTGGGAGAATAGATGCTTGAAATAAGATTGCATTTAAGGTAAAATTTTTACTCTATCATCCCTAGGTTGAAAAGGGGTTTCTGAAGGTATATGTTTGCTCCTTGTCCGCAATAATAAAGTCTGCTCCCATCTCCAGTACTCTGTGGTTGATGTTTTATCACTGTACTTGTTTTCCTTTCACTTCACTGCATGTAAATTCTTGCCTCACAACATAATATTGGCAGAGTACCTTGAGGTTCAATTCAGTAAATATTTATTACTGTTGAAGTTCAAGTCATAAATATTTATTGAATTGAGCCATTCAGCATGCTAATTACTCGAGATACATAACTAAAACAGACCCTACCTGCCCTTAAGAAGATTGCAATCTTAGAGCAGACAGATAGATTAACAAATAGAACCATGTAAGTGCAGTCACAGAAGTATGGGCAAGGTATACAGGACAAAGGAGGGAATGACCTCCCAGAGTCATATCCTTTCTAAAAGCAATTTAGGATGGAAATAAAAAGAAATAACAGTGGTAGGAGAGCAATGCAGGGACATAGTTCTCAAAGATGAACATTGTATAGGAAACTAGGTATGGTTTTCTAATGGATTGATTATTTCCAAAATACAGGTATTTATTTGAACTGAAAGAAGATGATGATGCATGTAAAAAAGCCCAGCAGACAGGAGCATTTTACCTCTTTCATAACTTGGCTCCTTTGCTTCAGAAATCAGAACATCAGTACGTGGCCCCCCAGCATAGCCTATTAGGTAAGCCCAAAGTAGACCAGCAAAATAGACCAGCCTGTGGCCACTGAATGTGTCCATGTTAAATCCCTGAGGAGAATCCTCCAACTTTAGAGTCCAGATTTTTTCCAAATGCTTTGGCCAATTAATTATTTAGTACATAAACTGAATTGCCCAGTTGGATATTTTTTGGCAATGATATGGGCCTCCTGGGCTGCTCAGTGGTAAAGAACCTGCCTACCAATGTATCCTTGGGTCAGGAAGATCTACTGGAGGTGGGCATGGCAACCTACTCTGGTATTCTTGCCTGGAGAATCCCATGGACAGAGGAGCCTCGTGGGCTACAGTCCATAGGGTCACAAAGAGTCAGACATGACTGAAGAGACTCAGCATGTGTGCACAAACTGTTTAAGATTTGCATCATGACTTAATTTCTCCTTAGAAGGGTCAAAGCTAAACATGAATTAAAATTAATTTGCTTTGAGATATAGTAAGTTCTATATAACTATATATAATTTTACATATTGTATAATTATTAATATATTAATAAGTACATATAATTTGCTTTTAAGGTATATAACTAGAGATATCTAAGTCATTGGGAATTGGCATTCAAGATGCTACCTTTCAAGTTTTACATGATGTCACTATATGTTGTTGTTTAGTCACTGAGTTTTGGCCAACTCTTTTGCGACCCCATGGACTGTAGCTCACCAGGTTCCTCTGTCCATGGGATTTTCCAGGCAAGAATACTGGAGTGGATTGCTGTTTCCTTCTCCAGAGGATCTTCCTGATCCAGAGATCAAACCCGCATCTCCTGCATTGCAGGCAGATTCTTTACCACTTGTGCCACCTGGGAAGCCCCTGGGTCACTATATGCCAACTTCTAAATACATTGCCAGGGCCAGATTATGCACTGCATATGTTGGAATACTTTGATAGTCTCTGGCAATACCTAAGTATATGAGGATGTTTATCAGAAGGCACTAAACATTATTTAGAGATTAGCAATGTAATCTTGTATTATGAACAAATAAATATGAATCCTTCATGCACAGAACAGATTTTCTCCCAATAACAGCACTTGCCTTTACAGACCAGGATCTCAGATGAGGAGTCTACCCTGGCCCACAAAAGCAGCATAATCTGGAGATGAAATTGTAGAACTGATTTGGTCTACCATTTTAAGTATGACACTTTTTTTTTTTTTCCAGTGCTTTAGTAAGTAACTATGATGTGTCTTTAAAACTAGGGGATATGCCCCTTTCATGATACAATCATAGAATAATACAGGATTACACAGAAAGAATTCCTTTAAACTCTTCAGATTGCTGATGGAGGCCAACAGAGGTTAAGTGATTAGGTCAAAATTACACAGCTAATTAGCATGCAGGGCAGTGACTGGGAGCCAGGTGTGCCTACTTCAAGTTGAAGTAGATGGTTTCTAATAAGTCTAGTATGGCTCTGGTGGTTTAATTAAAACCCTGTGTTTTTTTTTTCCCCCTTTCTCCTTTTGTATTTCTTAGAGTTGGAAAGGCTCCTGGGTAAGTTTGGACAAGACTCACAAATACTAGAAGATTCCGTGCTAATTGGATGCTCAGAACAGCAAGAAGCATGGTTTGCTCTGGATCTAGGTCTAAATAGCTCTTCTTCCATAAATGGTACAAAACATTATTCTTGATGGACACTTCCCTGTGGTTCGTAGGCTTTGGGACTCCACATAAAAGAGCATGTGAAGAATACAGAACAATTTCAGGTTTTAAGTTGTTGTTGTTGCTCAGTCGCTAGGTTGTATCTTACTCTGCGACTCTCCTACAACTGCAGCACGCCAGGCTTCCCTGTCCTTCACCATATCCCAGAGTTTGCTCAGACTCATGTCCACTGAGTCGGTGAAGCCATCCAATCATAAGCATTTCTTAAGTAAGAACATTAAAAAATAACTACCATCTACTATCATCATTTCGAGAAGGAAATGGCACCCCACTCCAGTACTCTTGCCTGGAAAATCCCATGGACGGAGGAGCCTGATAGGCTACAGTTCATGGGGTCGTGAAGAGTCCGACAGGACTGAGCGACTTCACTTTCGCTTTTCACTTTCATGCACTGGAGAAGGAAATGGCAACCCACTCCCGTGTGCTTGCCTGGAGAATCCCAGGGACGGGGGAGCCTGGCAGGCTGCCGTCTATGGGGTCGCACAGAGTCGGACACGACTGAAGCGACTTAGCAATAGTAGTGCTATCATCATTACATAAAATAAAGGACATTTTTTAATGCTTTCTCAACTACATGGTGGTACACAGATGTTTATTATATTATTCTCTGTACCTTCATGTATTTTATATATCTTAAGAAGAAAGAAATGTTTTAAAATTCATGACATTATTCTTATTTCTCTTACCAATGCAGGTAAATAAACACATTACCCTGGAGTAGCTCTGGGTCTTCAGACTTGCACTTAGAAATTGGTCTGCTAGAGCTTGTGGCCCTTATCAAGCCTTCCGTCTCTGTTTCAGGGTATCAGCTGTGAATACAATTATGCTGGAATGAGGTTTAGATAGGGGCTCAAAGGTCCCATTTCATCTTTCTTCCAGGGATAGTGTGTGGCTAGTGCAAATGTCCTTATTGCCCCGAAGAGGATCTTGGGAAACACTATGCTCTAATGTTTCCCAAATCTGCCCGAATATAAGAATCTCCTGGTGCTTGTTAAAAAAAAAAAAGAGAGAGAGATTTCTGGGCCTCACTCATCTGCCATTCAGAATCTCCAGGTAGGGGCTTGAGAACTTGAATATTTTTTTATTCTTCCTAATTGAGTCTTATTAGGTGAGTTTGGGAAACACTCTTCTAACAAGATATACTAGAGAGAGCCCCTGAGGTGAAGTCTGACATTTGCTTCATTTCATTTTCTTTTCTAATATTTTAGCTTCCTTACAGAAAGCTGAAGTGGAGACAGCCCTCCAGGGGTCATTCATTAAGCTGACAAAGGCTCTCTTTGAGCTGAATGTGAAGGATGCCTCCTTGCTGTCCACGGTAGATTGATTTCTTGGTTCTGTAGGAAATTTAGTAAAGCAGTGTATATGGGAAAGATTTGATTTCTTTTTTGCAGATCAGAGACTTTTTGCAGATCATAGACCGTGTTTCTTCTTCTTTTACCCTGTTTTTGTCGGTACCGTTTTCTCCTAAGTGTGTATAGATCTATGGCACTGTGATCTATAGGCCTTATAAACACTTTTAGTGACCCACAGCATGACATATACATGGTGAGAAGTTACTCTACATTGCCCTAATGACTTGTTCTCCACCTTTGGATTTCACTTGCTGAAATGGCTTTTGACTGTCCATTTAATTGGGCTTCCCAGGTGGCACTAGTGGTAAAGAACCCAGGGGCCAATGCAAGAGACATGAGAGACTCAGGCTCAGTCCCTGGGTCAGGAAGATCTTCTGGAGGAGGGCAGGGAAACCCACTCAAATGTTCTTGCCTGGAGAAGCCCATGGACAGAGGAGCCTGGTAGGCTACGGTCCCTAGGTTTGCAAAGAGACGGACACGACCGCAGTGACTCAGCATAGCACAGTACAGCCTAGGTGATTAATACTGTTGTGTCAGTTTCAGTGGTACAACAAAGTGATTCAGATATACCTATATATACATACCATACACATATCTATTCTTTTTCAAGTTCTTTTCCCAATTCAATTGTTATATAATATTGGATTGTCCATTTAAGTTAAAGAGCTATCTCTAAACATTTTTTATTTGCAAAAAAATTCCAAACTTATTGGGGAGTACATATTGAGGTGTTTTGTTATTGTTCAGTCACCCAGTCATGTTCAACTCTTGGTGACCCCATGGACTGTAGCCCTCCAGGCTCTTCTGTCCATGGAATTCTCCAGGTAAGACTACTGGAGTGGGTTGCCATTTAATTTTATAGAAAATGTTTTCTTTTTAAGCTGTGTCATAAGTATATGGGTGTTCATTATTATACTTTATTTTTTAAATAATTCATAATACACTTAAAATATGCTTTTTTAAAATTCATACTTAAAATGACAGAGGACTATTTTCAGAGTTTCCTTTAAAGTTTAAATAATTAATAACCAAAGTAGGTAAGCTGGAAAGGGAATGGCATGTCCCTTTGAGTTGCTCTAAATATTAGTAGCCCCAGCACCATTACAGATGAAACCCACATTCTCTCCAAATGGTACCAAGTCCATCTTTGTATTCCCAGGCTCAGGCTCTTCTTCGTTGGCATGATGCTCATCAGTTCTGCAGCAGAAGTGGGCAGCCCACCAAGAAGAATGTGTCTGGTAGCAAGCGTGTGTGCCCTTCCAATAACATCATCTATTATCCACAGGTAAGCATTGCTTTAAAAGGACAATAATCCAAGCCAAAAGGCTTTCCTTAGTTACCCATTACTTAGTTTCATTATCAGGCCCTAAAGCCCTGGTGTCTAAGTTTCCATCCCCTTTACCTAGGTGGCACCTGTGGTGATCACTCTGGTGTCAGATGGAACTCGATGCCTGCTTGTCCGCCAGAGTTCCTTTCCCAAGGGAATGTATTCTGCCTTGGCAGGTTTTTGTGATATAGGTAAGGAATTTAGGCGTATACAGATAACATTGAAGGAAATGAAAGCTTATCAATAATGTGTATGTATATATATATCTTTTTTTTTTTTCTTGGCTGCACCGGGCCTCCGCTGCTGTACTGCAGCTTTCTCTAGTTGCGGTGGACGGGCTTCTCGTTGAGGTGGCTCCTCTTGTTGCAGAGCAGGACTCTAGGGCACAAGGGCTCAGTAGTTGTGGCGGGTGGGCTCGGTAGTTGCAGCCTGCAGGCTCTAGAGCACAGGCTTAGTAGTTGCGGCGCTTGGTTGCCCCGCAGCATGTGGCCTCTTCTCAAACCCGGGACTGAAACCATGTGCCCTGCATTGGCAGGTGGATTCTCAATCGCTGGACCACCAGGAGTGTTCAAGTTATGTATTTATTCTTATTGCCAGAGTACTTGGAATCCCAAGCACATTTTCTCCTATTATATCAAGAAAACTACCTGCTGGTACTACAATTTTCCAATATTTTATAGGCAAATTTTCAAATATAAGCATAGTTAGAAGATTTATACTGTAAACACCCATATACTCACCACCTAAATTCGATAATTACTATGCTTATTTTATCACAAATCTGTTCATTCTTCCATCCATCCATTAATCAATCATATTTTCTGATGCATAGATCACAGACATTAATACACTTCCTCCTAAATATTTCAGCATACATATTAATATTCTATTAACTAAAATTTAATGTTTATTTATAGGCTGTTTTTTTCTCAGCCCATTGCAGTAAAATTGGCAAATGCTGACATGTGGCATTCGAATTTTGTTAAAAAGCTGAGGTCAGCAGTAGTCTTTCCAACTCTTGTTTTGTGTAACAAACATAGCAGGTTCAAGAACTGGCAGTTTGATACCCAACTCCAGATTTGATTCCTAGTGTAAAGACTCAGAGATTTAGGCCTTTCCCAAGAGTATTTCCTTGACTTTGAGGCACTTTTATGCTCCTTTCGAAAATGGGCATCTGCATCACCCTTCCTGCTACAGGGCTGTCCTGAATTAATCTGAGTACTTATAGGTGAAAGTCTGGAAGAGACTGTCCGGCGAGAAATTGCAGAAGAGGTGGGATTGGAGGTGGACAGACTGCATTACTCTGCATCCCAGCATTGGCCCTTTCCTCACAGCACACTCATGATTGCTTGTCATGCAACTGTGAAACCAGGGCAGACAGAGGTACGTTCTGATGCTTTCCTTATGACATATCCTTTGCCTCATCCTAGCTGGTCCAGTTACTCACTAAGCACCTGCCTAGTCCACCACAAAGATGTGTAAAATATGATTTATACCTTTAAGGAATTTTACAACTTTATAAACAAATTCACCATAAAAATTAGGAATGTCAACATGAGCACCATTCTTCCTTGTATATATATCTCAATCATGAGACAATTTACCTTTCTTCATCAGGAAATTAACAATGTTTTACACTGAATAGGCACACAATAAATATATAAAATGTAATGACTGATTCCAGAATTGGTCTTACAGCTCAAGTCAGTCAGGATGCTGGGGACTAATAATATAAAATCACAGGAATTTCTGACTGAAAGGGACTTAGGTGTTGTCTTATCTAACCTCATCTTGCTCTTTCATAAGTCTTTTTTTTTTTTTTTTTGCTTAGGGATTTTTTTTTCCATTTATTTTTATTAGTTGGAGGCTAATTACTTTACAATATTGTAGTGGGTTTTGCCATACATTGACATGAATCAGCCATGGATTTACATGTTCCCCATCCTGATCCCCCCTCCCAATCCCATCCTGTTGGATCTTCCCAGTGCACCAGCCCTGAGCACTTATCTCATGCATCCAACCTGGGCTGGCGATCTGTTTCACACTTGATAATATACGTGTTTCAATGCTATTCTCTCAGATCATCCCACCCTCACCTTCTCCCACAGAGTCTAAGTCTGTTCTATACATCTGTGTCTCTTTTTCTGTCCATATAGGGTTATCGTTACCATCTTTTAAAATTCCATATATATGCGCTAGTATACTGTATTGGTGTTTATCTTTCTGGCTTACCTCACTCTGTATAATGGACTCCAGTTTCATCCACCTCATTAGAACCGAGTCAAATGTATCATTTTTAATGGCTGAGTAATATTCCATTGTGTATATGTACCATAGCTTTCTTATCCATTCATCTGCTGATGGGCATCTAGGTTGCTTCCATGTCCTGGCTATTATAAACAGTGCTGCAATGAACATTGGGGTCTTAACAGATTGTGTTGTATTCCCTATTTGCCAAAGTCTGCCTATTCTGTGCTTTGGTTTCTATACAGTAATATCTAACCTATCTCAGTTTCTGTAATAAACTGTGGATGCAGTTTGCATTATTTTGCTTCCTGCAAGGAAGATACTGTGCTTTTGACTATCATTAACACTTACCTTTTAAAGAAGAATAACATTTATATATTTCCTTTTTAGTTATATAATCATTTAAGCACAAAAAGAAACAGTATTATTCATAACTTACATTCAGTGTTAACCACTTTTTTGTGTGTGTGGCTGCACTGCATGGCTTGCAGGATCTCAGTTTCCTGATCAAGGATTGAACCGGGTCCTGACAGTGAAAGCGCGAAGTCCTAATCACTAGACTGCTAGGAAATCCCCAAACCACTCTTAATGCTTTACTATTTGAGCTTCCATGATTTTTTTTCAAGTGTGTGTGTTTTAATATTTTAAAAACATACTTAACTCTCTTCCCTTAATTATGGTTATTTTACTTCTGGACATTATCTAGAATTATCTCCCAGTGAATAGAATCCAGACACCATCTACTAAGATTGCTCAGTTCTGGAACATTTTCTCACCCTTGGCCATTGTACTCTAAGTAGCTCCTAACTTTATATCCTGTTTTTCCTTATGTCTTTCAGCTCCAGGTGAACTTGAGAGAATTAGAAGCAGCTGCCTGGTTCAGTCGTGATGAGGTGGCCACAGTCCTGAGAAGAAACCACCCATCTAATCAGCAACAGAGTGGTGCTGTCCCATTCCGGTTGCCCCCCAAGTTAGCCATTGCCCACCAACTGATAAAGGAGTGGGTGGAAAAACCAACCTGTTCTCCCCTGCCTGCTTAGCTCAGATCAGGCCACCTGATCAGATAACCCCCTCCTCATGATCTAAGAGGGGCACATTAGAGAACAATTGATAAACAGGAGGTGACAAAAACCCATCTCTGGCCAACTTCATACGGCAGAACAGATGGTAAGCCTACAGCAGGACACATCTGCCAGTGTTAACAGAAGTTCCTAACCACAGGCAATCAAAAATCCCCAAACTGATCAGATAACAAAAATCAAAGCAAAAGTTGATTAGTTTGGATACAGGCCCTTGTTCACTCATTTTCCCCTGTGCTGTGGAAGCAAACATCTTCTGGCATGTGGCTTATCAATGCTGGATTTATACTAACTGCCAAATGTGCCTGGTATAATTTCAGTTAAAATTTTATCTTAGTATTAAAAATATATAGCAGATCTCAACCCACTACTGAGTTACTTTTTATGTTCACAGAATTTTAAAAAGTAGCACAACATTTTTGAATTTGTATAGAGGTAACTATTTTACATATAGTAGTTAAATAAAAGTCATATTTCTTTAAGTCCTTCATCCCAGGAAAGCCGAATTAAGGTCTTCCTCAAGGTGCTTTGTAATAAATCAGATACAGTGATGTTCTGTTGAGGTAACTGCATGCCAGTGGGGCCCAAGAGGGCAAGTCAATTTTTTGCTGTTACTTGCTCAGTTTGTGACCAGGGAAAAGGAGTATCCCTTGTCATGTCTGTTTTCCTAAACATAAAATGGTTGCAGCCATTTGCGCACCCAGTAAGTGTTGTAACTTCAACAAAATGACCAGTGAAGATGAACCATTTCTTGAGTTTTATCAGATAAACTAAATTTAGGATTTGTCATTCATATATGCTGTTCTGTACCTTATCATAGGGGAGAAGCACTGATCTAGAGGAAATGAAATACATTTCTGAGCCTCTGTTCAGATGTGTTTTTCTATCTTACGAAGTGAGGAAACTGTAGAAAGTGCGAATTGAGGGTGGGAGGGAGGAAACTATTAGTGTGAAGTCTGTGTAATGACTAAAGCAATGTTGGGAAGAAATGCTGTTAGAAGTCTATTTGAGAAGAGGAATGGCTGAGGCAAGAGTCGTATGTTCAGGTACTTTTGGCAACTAACTAGTAATTAAAGACGCAAGTGCCAGAGACCCTAACATGATTCACACACCCAAGTCCCACAGGACTAAGTAAAACAGATTCTAGAACTAGGGAGGATGAAGCACTGAATCTCCTTTTGATCCCAAAGGCTGGGATCAATACTCTCACTACTGCCAGCACACCATCACTGCTTTGGGAAAATCAAACTGCTGTCATCGGGAAATGCTGAAGGATAATATGTGATGGGACTCGACTGTCCTATTAGATTGGCGGCTTGCCCTGATCTGGGCTGAACCCGGCACATAGAAGGGAAAAAACACTCTAGAAAGAGAGGTCCTGAGATTTCTTCATATCTTGCAGTTAGAAGAAAACAGTTCAGGGTCCATGTGTAGTAAGTATTGCCTCCCAATGTTTTCTATCTCTATGTGGGTGTGTTTGTGACCACATGTGTACATATCCCCAATCTGAAAATACTGATAGAAAGAGGAGTGTACAGAATTCCTGGTTATGAGTTTCTCAACTTACCACGAAGTAACTGTTTACTTTTGGATTATCATGTTGTTTTGGAAAAGAAAAAATGAGAGTAGTTAATAGGAGGAGCTGCAACATTGAACTTTGTTTCCCAGCAGTGACTGGAAAGAGTGCTTTGCTTCTTAGAAATCCAAGGATAACTCAGAGCAGAGGCAAAAGAGGGCAGGGTGGGCTGGGGTCCTAAAAAATGGCAGATAAATAAAAGAAACTTTGGTACAGGGCTTACCTGACTAGAGAATATTTTTGTGGCAATGAATTATGAAGGTGCTAAGAATAAAAAGAACCTGATGGGTCCTTGAAGAATAGCAAAAACAGGTAGAAGATTCAATTATTTGACACCAGAGGGAGACTGACTCAAGGTCGTTCCTGGTAACTGGAATAAAAAGCAGCTCATTCATTCCTTTTGTTTGCCAGTCCACCTTCCTTCCTCTACCCAGTGTTTAATCCTGAATAAAGATAAACTTAGTGTTCCAAACATAGAGTGTGTAAGTCTTATCTCAAAGGCTTGATTCTCTCTCTTCTGCTGATTTCAAAACCTTGTATGCACCCCAGAGTTGATATCACAAAAGACTTGTGCAAAGAGGGCAACATTTGGGGCTCAGAGAGGAGAAGTTAACCTATGAACTTAAAATGAAGAAAACATTTTTACTAGATGAGTAATCAAAACTAAAGATGAGCATAGTCAGACTCAATATTTATTCAAGAAGAAAAAAAGAGAGGCTAGGTTGGCTTGCTAATCTTTCGTTGGCTTACTTGTGGGTCTGTGATCAGCACTGTCAGGCAGCTGCACACCCATGCTTTGTAAAAGGTTGGAAGCAGGTCCTGCTAGTCCAGCTTGGGAACTATAGGACTCTAATATGTTTGAAACCAGGTTCAGGTCTACATCCACTGGCGTCATAACAGATCCTCCTGTGCCAGAATCTTCCTCCTCTGAATTGTCATTGGTAGTCTGGGATAGAGGTTCCTTGTTCATGGAAGGAAAAGCAAGTCATTAGACAATAGGCGACTAGGTTGGATGGAAGTTACAATAAAAAGCAACAATGTCAAGTTGAGTTACATATTAGAAAGGAAATTCCCTTCTTGATAGAAAGAAAATGAAGTCTAATAATAAACTATGTAATTTAACAGACACATTAAAATTTGGTTCCAAAGATTATAGCATACTTCTTCCTAGGATAAGTTTCTACAAATTATATGGATTCCTTCCCAATTTTGAAATAGTCCAAGGGAGATAACCAGAGGTAAGGAGATACATTTATAGCTTGCCTAAGAGTTTTAAAAGAAATAAACAAAAAAATGAACAGTTAAAAGTAAATAAATAAAACAGAATCTGAAATTTTCTCTAAGTGAAAGAAGCTAGATTTCTTTCCTACCCACACGTAACACAAAATAAGCAGTATAATTAAGCTTATGTTTAAGAAAATAATCTTTCATTCAACCAGAGTTAGGAAAAAAATCAACCTTATTCAAATGAAAAGATCAAATTCAAATCACAAAAAATTACCACAAATGAAAAACTAAGATAAAATAATTTTAGCTGTCCTTTGTACTAGATTGAAAAGGGAAAGAGGTTGAAAACATACCATTTGCTTCTGGGTGGTGAAACTTTTGCCAAAGCTGGTACGTGCTCATTCCTGGTCCATCTGGGCCATGTATGACTTGAGATCATCCAGAGTCCCTTTGACAGATGCTTCTTCTCCAGGCTCCTGTGTTTCAAGATCCAAGTCATCATCACTGTCTAAACATTCAGAGTCTTCCTCATCCAGATCATCAGAGTCTGACTCATGGGACTTTGAACCTACACAGACCCCAACACAGAAAGAGTCACTTGGTACATTTTTTTGGCGTGACTATACATCTCAAAAGAATTAGAATATTCTCTGCCAAAAAAATGTGAATATACACAGGCAAAATACTTCAGAAAAATCCCCTCCAGAAAATGATACTGCTGGCAGACATTTGCAGCAAAGTACATGGGCTAAGCTGAAAGATTCCTTTTTTTTTTTTTAGGTGAATTCAACTGATGAAAAATTTTTACTTAAGAAATTTAAAAACTACATAATACATGAATACATTCTGATGTAAACATTCAAATTACATAGAGTTATTGTCTCACATTTCATTCTTTTCCTAGAGTTAAGCATCTTTTAACAGTTCAGTGGGTACCCACACTTTTATTTACATAATTCTGTGTGTGTCTGTATGTGTATACAAAATATTTTTTACACAGATATATTGAACTATGGTTTGCTTTTCTATTTATTTATATATCTTGGAGGTCCTTTGCTGTCAAAACACAGAAATGGACCTCATTCTTCACTAAGGCTATACTGTACTTCATAAAGTTAATGTACTATGATTTTTTTGGCGGGGGGTAAAATTGTACTATAACCCAGTTTTTGCTTCTACAATGTTGCAATCACCATCTTAGCACATGCAGCTTTTTCATGAGGTAAATTCCTAGAAGTGAAAATAGCAAAGTCAAAGGTTACGAACATTCTGGAGTACCAAACTGCCTTCAGAAAAGACGACTTACACCTCCACCTCCACAGCTGAACAGTGCTCCTTTCTCCCACACTTGAGCAAACTGATTATTATCAACCTTTAAAATTTTTCCCAGTATGATGGGCCAAAAAAATAATTCTTACTTTTATTGTATACTTACTTGTTTACTAGAAAGAGTTAACTATTTTCAAATATTTATTGATTATATTTCTTCCTCAAGACACTGCCTGTTTATATCCTTTGTTGATTTTTTCTTAATTGGGCTATTTGTCTTTTTTTTTTTTTTAGTAGACTATTAAGTGTTATTGTGCTTAGTCGCTCAGTTGTGTCCCAACTCTTTTTGACCCCATCGACTGTAGCCTGCCAGGCTCCTCTGTCCGTGGGGATTCTTCAGGCAAGAATACTGGAGTGGGTGGCTATGCCCTCCTCCAAGGGACCTTCCCAACCCAAATATCGAACCCAGTTTCCCGCACTGGAGGCAGATTCTTCACCAAGGAAGAATCCTTCCCTTCTATACCAGGGAAGCCCAGGATATAAGTGCAGGATGTTTAAAAGAGAGAAAAAAAAGAACAATGTAATACGGGAGCCCATGTAAAACCCTATCTAACACACAGCATTCATTCACTCAACAAAGATTTAATGAGCAACTACTATGCCAGGCACTAAGCAAGGCATCTTCTGCAAAATTACTTAGTAGGGCAACAATTAATAGTTGAAAGCAACTCAAAATCACACACACACACACAAAACAAAATACAAATGAGATCCAATGCTCCAAAGCTCTAGCAATCTGTATACAACTTACAGTTGCAAAAGAAAAATAAACATCACTGTAACTCACCTAAAATCTTATCGAAATAATTAAGAAAAGAATCTGCATCAAAAGTGATTGGAGCCTCAGAAGGTTCTCTGTAAGATTAAAGGAAAAAGACAATTTATCCCAAACAAAACTCTTTGAAACTTTGTCTAAATTGGTGCCATTCTTAGGAACACTACCAGAGATATACTTTCAAAGGAGGCATAGCAAGGAAAACGGTAGTTTAAATTTTAAAAACCATTATGCTTACTGATCTTGTAGGGCAATAGAAATGGGAAAGATAGATGAAATAAAAGTAAAAACTGCACTTTGATTAGGCACATTTTTAACTTATGTTGATTTAGGGATCTGCCAACCTACCACCTCCCATAAGATAAACTAGCATTAGCAAAAGAAGCGATTTATCCAAATTCATTTAAATAAAGTCTATCTTTTTAAGAACCAAACCTTTAAACATAAAAAAGGTCAAACCTTCCCAATCCCTGCTTCTTTTTTTTCCTGCTGTCTTAAAGAGAGAATACTGAACATAAATTTTAATCTTATAAAAAATAAATAAATAAATAAATTTTACTCTTATGAGGCTAATGAGCATCAACACTAATAAAGATGTATTTGGCTGGGCAAGGAACAATTCCATCTACCTGTTTTCCCTATTACTTGCCAAACATAATACCTCTTTTTAGTATATGTGCTGCCGAAGCGAGCACAAACATAATACCTCTTGTTCTCTGTTATTATTTCTTCCTCTGATAAACTTTTATCCTCCTCTTTTTTGTTGCATTTATTTTATTAAATAAATTTATTTAAAACAGTACATTTTCTGTATTATACATAAAAATTCACATACAGATGTCTTTTCTATCAAATCCTTATTCTTTCTCCATTGTCAAAAACCTTAATTTTTCATTCCTGCTAGATTTTTCTTCCTTGGTAATCCTTTATCTTACCCCACTGAAATATTCTCACAGAAGGAATTATGACCTGGGTACAGAAGAAAGTGATTGCTCAGCAAATGTGAATACTGGTCCCGGTTCTCAAATTCCTTCACCTTTTCCATTGTTATCAAGCACCTTGATGTGTGACTGGAAAGCTTCTGCTCGCAGTTGCTGGTGAGTTTCAAGCAGAGGTGCCAGGATGCCATCTGCTCAGTGTATTCCTGTGTGTATACTGGTAACCAATAGATGAGTCTTCCACGCAATACGAGGGTCTCTGCTGAGAACTTTAACAGGTCAAAGAACATATCACACCGATGATAACTCAAGGAAACAGGAACGTGGCTTTCTGGATATTTTTCTATTCCCTTTGGTATTTCCTTTCATGACCTGGTCTTCTTGTGGATTCTCTAATACCATATGGAAGATCAGTGATGATTGTTTCAAAATATGTGCCCTTCTTCCAGGAAGGTTTAGATGCATCTGAAACCAAGACATCAAGGTGGCCTTTCCCAAGCCATGAACAGTATTGTAGTCTATGTCTGTCCCATATACATATGCACCAAAATGAGCAGAAGCTATCAGAAGGCCACCTGTTCCAACAAATGGATCAAATACAGTATCATTTTTTTTTACTTTTCCATGGTTGGCCATGATGAATGATAAACCCGCATCCATGCTTGTATTTCAAATAAAGTGTCTCTTTTTGACACTGTATGACTCAGTAAGTTCTCTCTGTTTATCTGCAATTCATCTACCAAAATAAATATTATGTGGATTCTCAGGGATGTGGTTTGGGTCCTAACCATAATCCTCCAAAATAGAGAATACATGTTGTGGCTTCTTTAAATTCACTTTCCCTTCAAATGGCAGAAATTCAAGTGCATCTATTCATCTGACTTTTTCTTCTTGTGTAAATGTTTTATTAAATGTGTGAATCTTTATTTTACATGTAGAATCTGAATGCAGAAATGGAACCATTTTCTCAACAGGGCAGCTTTTCAGAAAACTGTACAGCTCCTCCAGACACTTTCCATGACCCCATAGTTCAAATATAGACTTGGCACACACAGAAAAATTAAGTTTCTGGCAATATCTTCAGAGGGAATGCTAAGAATCCAAAAAGGAGACTTTTCGTAAGTTTCCTGACTACTGGTGAACTAACCTTCAAAAAATGAAAGCAAAGACTTTATCTCCGGAAGGTGGAACTCCCGGTATTCCTGGGCCACGAGCAGAAGATAACCTGTTCAAGGTACCTGGCGGCGCTCATCCTCCTCTTCTGAGTTTGAAGCTTCCAATCTACTTAAGGGTACAAGATCAGATGTCCGATCCTGATGAGAGCTAGATGTTAGAAGTCCATAATATTCTGAGTAAAAGCCTAAAAAGTAAAGTATATAGTTGCCCTGCACAGGTCTGGGGCAGTGGCCTTTAGATCTGAGTGATCTCTCTGGCTTACTTCAAGGATCATAATCAGGTTATTAGAAATCTGACTCCACATAAGTAAGTTATCATAGTACTAGGTACCAAAAGAGGAAAACAAAGCATTGGAAATCATTTACCAAAAAAAAAAGAAAATTAAAGACCACAGAACTGGCAATGATTGGATGATGCCAACATAGAGACTCTAACTATTTAGATAATTATACTTTAACAGAAATTACCGAGGCAGCTCTGCTCCTTTGTGGGTTGAGACTTTGGATATGAAAGCTTTCATGCTCTCTGAGACTTGAGTTAAGTCATAGTTCTCCTCCTGCCCCTTGGAAACAGACTCTGGCTCTTTTTTGCCAGCAGCTTCCTGCAGCAGCTGGTCCAGTTGATCTGGTGAGAGATCTAACCACCGTTCATCTGAAAAAGAAGTGTGACACTGCCATGCTACACTCACATGAAACAGGTATACTCTCAGTGAAGTACCCTCTGAGACTTAGCAGGACGCTTTAATTCTTTCTAACTCTGCGCTCTATCCTGGCCCATCACTTACCATCTTCTGGGGGAAGATAAGCTTCTTCTTTCTTAAGCTCTTCTATATCAAATGGTATTGTCTGCAATAATGTTAAGATTTCTTCACCTGGGCTCATAGCATGAGAGCTATAAAAAAATGAAAGACATGGGTATTTAACGAGAACTTAGAATAATAACCACAAAAACAGAGTATTTTAAAGTTGGAAACAATTATCTAATTTGTTTTTAAACATTTGTTCAGGATACTGAATCCTTCCTCTCAAAATTTCACCAGGAACTCAAAATATAAAAAGAGCTCAAAGAAAAACTGCTTTGAGGAGGTCCCTGGCAGTCCAGTGGTTAGAGCTTGGTGCTTTCACTGCCATGACCCCTGGTTCAATTCCTGATTAGAGAATGAGGGTCCCAGAAGCCTCACAGCACAGTCAAACCAACAAAAACCCACAAAGTAAAGAAAAGAGAAACTGCTTTGCAGAAAAAGAAACCATCAACAAAATGAAAAGACAACCTAAAGAACAGGAGAAAATATTCACTAACCATATATATGATATGGGGTTAATATTCAAAATATATAAAAACTCATTAATAGCAAAAAAAAACCTCCAAGTTATCTTATTCAAAAATGGGCAGAGAAAATGAATAGACATTTTTCCAAAGAAGATACACAAATGCCAAGAAAAGGTGCTCAACATCAACTAATCATTAGGGAAATGCAAATAAAAATCACTGTGAGATATTGTCTCACACCTGTCAGAACGTCTATCATTAAAAAGACAAGAGAGATCAAGCATTGGCAAGAATGTGGAGAAAAGGGAACCCCCGTGCACTGTTGATGGGAATGCAAATTGGTACAACCACTATGGAATACAGTATGGAGGTTTCTCAAGAATTAAAAATAGAGCTACCATGTGACCTAGCAATCCCACTTCTGGGTATTTATCCAAAGGAAATGAAAACAAAATCTCAAAGACATGTCTGCATCCCCATGTTCACTGTAGTATTATTCACAGTAGCTAAGACTGGACACAACCTAAGTGTCTACAAACAGATAACTGGATAAAGATGTGGTGTGGATGGATGAATGGACAGACAGATAAATTCACAGAGACAGAGATATACACGGGCTTCCCAGGTGGTGCCAGTGGTAAAGAACTTGTCTGCCAATGCAGGAGATGTAAGAGACGCAGGTTCAATCCCTGGGTCAGGAAGATCCCCTGGAGGAGGGCACAGCAGCCCACTCCAGAATTCTTGCCTGGAGCATCCCATGGACAGAGGAGCCTGGCGGGCTACAGTCCCTAGGATCACACAGAGCTGGACACAACTGAAGCAATTTAGCACACACACACAGAGATATACACACATATACACTGGAGACACATATATATACTGGAATATATATATATATACACACACACACACACACACTCTGGAATATAATGGAATATTATTTAGCCATGAGAGAGAAAGAAACCTTGTCATTTGCAATAATGCCCTGTACCTTGAAGGCATTATGCTGAATGGGATAAGCTAGACAGAGAAAGTTAACATGGTATCACTTATATGTGGAATCTAAAAAAAAAAAAATAAAGTCAACCTCACGGAAACAGAGAATAAAAGTGGTTGCCAGTGACTAAGGGGTGACGGAAATAAGCACAAAAATCCCGGAAAAAGGATTCAAACTTTCAGCTGTAAAGTAAATACGGTCATAGGATCTAATGTGAAACATGGTTACTATAGTTGACAACACTATTGTGTAAATGAAATTTGCTAAGATAGTAAATATTAAATGTTCTCAAATACACACAAAATATAAATAATGTGAGGTGATGAATCTGTTAAATAACTAGGTGGTGGGACTCTTTTTCATAATGTATAGGTATATCACCACAATGACACTTTAAGTGTCTTACAGTTTTGTCAATTATACCTCAGTCAAGCTAAAAAGAACCCTGAAAGACTGCTTTGATTGAAATGGAGGCTGGAGGCTCGGAGACCTGCTCACCTTGCCTTCCCCTCTGCTCCGCAGCAGGCTCCATGGACCACCATCATGGAGCTGCTGATTTAGTGTAACTCTTTCAATTTATATATATCATATTATGAGGAAATGAAAACCCAGAAGAAAGTACACACAAAAATTAATCTATCATGTATTAAATGATAGGCTAGTCTTTCACATACATTTTCTTATTTTGCCCTCTAATTACTATTACAAGGAGGTAATAATCCTATTTTACAAAGGAGAAACTCAGAGCCCAGTGAATTTCTTTAACTTTTGCAAGGTCGTTGAGGTGGACAGAGCAAAGGCTTGAAATCAAGTCTTCTGATACCATTTTGTGTTCCTCTTACTATAAACTGATAGGGAAATACACACAGAGATTATTTATATGACAAGTGAGCTATTTTATGATGGTGATGTGATTTGTTATATAAGTTTATGGAACTCTGTCTGAACTATTTATAATGGAAAAAACCAAGTTATATAATGGACTTGCATTAATTTAATAAACATTTGCATACCTTGCTGAATCATGTGGGTAACAGGGAATTATCCCTACTCTGTAATATGCAAATAAAAAAAGACAGAGAAAAGAAATATACACAAATAATTATGATAAGTTAAAAACATATAAAGTCGCACAGAAATACCAAATGGTTCAAAGAATCATAGGAGAAGGTAATTACATTCACTGGGTGGAGACAGAGACGTTAAAAAAAAAAAAAAAAAAAAAAGAGCTAATGGAAGAAGCTGAGTTAGCCCTTAAAGATTCAAGAGAATTTTGATGGGTAAGACAAGATAGAGAAACTAGGCAAGGGGAAAAATGAGCATTTGTACAGAGGTGGGGAAGTGAGGAACATGTTCAGAGAGAGCAAACGGGTTCAATTTGGCTTAAGGGTGAAATCTGAGGCTGAACAGATGGACTGAAGAGTACAACGAGGCTGAAATGGCTAAGTTTAGACTCAATGAAGTAAGGAGTGAGTGATCATTGATGGCTTCTTTGTTATTTTTAATTTTTGCTTTAAAATAACATAGACAAGTCAAAAAGGTAATATATCCTTACCACCCAGACTTAAAATACTGCTATATTTACCTCTAGTCTAAATATATGACTACATTAATAAATTTAACATAAAAACCAAACTAGTAATATATGTGGTGGTGGTGTTTAGTTGTGTCTGACTCTTTGTGACCCCATGGATTGCAGCTTGCCAGGCTCCTCTGTTCATAGAATTTTCCAGGCAAGAACACTGGAATGGGTTGCCACTTCCTCCTCCTCCAGGGCATCTTCCCAACCCAGAGATCGAATCTGTATCTCCTGCAATAGCAGGTGAATTCTTTAAGCATGTACTTTAAAAAATATATGATAGACAAAGTTAGTATTCCCTTTGGTGATCAACACTACCAGGTCCAATCTGTTTCTCTGCTGCCCAAAAGTGACAGCTCTCACAAGAACCTTTCTGGGCCACTGAGTAAGTAGGAGAACACTGTTTTCTTTACCTGACATGTTATTCTCTTGATACCATTCCCTCAGTATCATCTGTCTGCCTCAATCCCTGACATTCTTAGATCTCTTCTGAAAGAAAACCTGCTTGGAAAGGTCTCCCTGGTCAACCCTTCTAGAACAGCAGCCCTTATGATCTCTCTCCCCAAATATTGCCTTTTCTTCAAAGTACTAATTACCATCTATTATCATATAACGGTTTATTGTCTTTCTCCTACACTAGTATGCAGCTCCACAGGGCAGGGAGAATTGGGGCTCACTTGTTGTATTCCCAGTGCCTAGAATAGGGCCTGGCACATAGGAGATAATAAATACTGAGTAAATGAAGATATATTTATCTATAATATGTAATATTTTGTGTATTTTTACAGTTGATACCCATAGCACCTACATTTTACTTGTATTTTTCATTCAACATTGTATTTTTTAAATCTATTCATTTAGACTAGTGATTCTCAACTGGTGACAATTTGGCAACATTTGGTAACATTGTTGGTTGTCACAATTAGTGGGGAGTGGGGAGTCAGTCCCAGGGGAATTTACTGAGTAGAGGGCAGAGACATTGCTTCATCTTATAATGCACAGGATAGTTCCCCACAGCAAAGAACCATCTGGTCCAAAGTGTTAATAGCGTCAAGGTTGAGAAATTCTGACTTAGATTTATGGATATTTATATAATCTCTGGTTAACTAAAGGATAGTAAGCCATCATATAAATACACTGAAATTCATTTACCTACTATTGGTGGACACTTCCATTGTTTGTAATTTTTCACTATTACATTCTCTAATAATTTTTAGGAGAGGGAAGTAATATGATTACAGATATATTTCAAGCAGATTCTCCTGGCTCTGATGGTTGAATTGGAAGAGAAGAGTAACTAAAGGCTAAGAAATAAGTTTAGGTGTAGCTATAGTTCAATATGGCTCACTTATATGACAGAAAGTGAAGAAGAACTAAAGAGTCTCTAGGGAAAGTGAAAGAGGAGAGTGAAAAAGTTGGCTTAAAGCTCAACATTCAGAAAACTAAGATCATGGATCTGGTCCCATCACTTCATGGCAAACAGATGGGCAAACAGTGGAAACAGGAGAGACTTTATTTTTTGGGGGTCCAAAATCACTGCAGATGGTGATTGAAGCCATGAAATTAAGACACTTACTCCTGGGAAGGAAAGTTATGACCAACCTAGACAGCATATTAAAAAGGAGAGACATTACTTTGCTGACAAAGGTCTGTCTAGTCAAAGCTATGGTTTTTTCAGTAGTCATGTATGGATGTGGGAGTTGGACTATAAAGAAAGCTGAGCGCCGAAGAATTGATGCTTTTGAACTGTGGTGTTGGAGACTTGAGAGTCCCTTGGACTGCAAGGTGATCCAACCAGTTCATCCTAAAGGAGATCAGTCCTGGGTCTTCACTGGAAGGTCTGATGTTGAAGCTGAAACTCTAATACTTTGGCCACCTGATGTGAAGAGCTGACTCATTTGAAAAGACCCTGATGGTGGGAAAGATTGAGGGCAGGAGGAGAAGGGGATGACAGAGGATGGGATGGTTGGATGGCATCACTGACTCAATGGACATGACTTTGGGTGGGCTCTGGGAGTTGGGTGTTGGACAGGGAGGCCTGGCGTGCTGCAGCTCATGGAGTCACAAAGAGTCGGACACGACTGAGTGACTGAACTGAACTGATAGTTCAGTAATTAAGTAATTAGAGTATCTAGCCAGGCAGTAAGGAAAAAGAATGTTAAGACACAATACTGAACAGTATCTAAGGACTGGATCCAAGGAGAGCCAGGAGGTCTGGGTGATAAGAAGGATGGTAGTACAATGAAAAGATAGCAGGAAACAGTCGAAGACATTAATTCAGCTAATAAAAACAAAACAAACAAACAAAAGCTTTAGGAAGTCAAGAACAGGTCTGGAGGGAGATGTGAGCTTGGTTTCGAACTGCAAAGAAGTCATTCTGGTTGGTGAATGGGAGTTTCTCCTACAACACTCATGAAAATGTTGGATATTGAAGCTATTTGCAGTAAGTAAATTAGGGTCCATTTGCTAAAACGCTGTGCAGCACTTATCAAAACATTTTAAGGTCATGGGAAAATGTAAGATCACAACGAGTAAAAATTATGAACAAGATACATAATTTCTTGATAATGTAAAATTTAAAAAAAAAATCAATTGGTTACAGGGAATAAGAATCCTGAAAGGCAGTAAATCGGAAGAATGATAATAGTGGCTAACTCATGATATAAAATGGAACAACATTTTTCTCTATTTGCTATATGAATGAATGTTATTTTTTTTTTTGAATGTTATTTTTATAATAATAAAAGACATTATGATTTAAAAAGAATTACCAAACCCTCAATCTATCTTATTTCATGGGAGAATAAGATAGCCCTAAATCTCCTACATGCTGCTGTTGCTGCTGCTGCTAAGTCATGTCAGTCGTGTCTGACTCTGTGCAACCTCACAGACGGCAGCCCACCAGGCTCCGCCATCCCTGGGATTCTCCAGGCAAGAACACTGGAGTGGGCCGCCATTTCCTTCTCCATTGCATGAAAGTGAAAAGTGAAAGTGAAGGCGCTCAGTCCTGTTGGACTCTTTGCAACCCCACGGACTGTAGCCCACCAGGCTCCTCCGTCCATGGGATTTCCCAGGCAAGAGTACTGGAGTGGGGTGCCATTGCCTTCTCCTCTCCTACATGAGTCTCTCTAATTTCTTAACTTCTCTTCACCTAAGATTATAAAGTAATGCTGTTCAACAGGGGAGTGGTCTCCCAGAGGTGACAGAATTCATCTGGGGGAGATTCCCCTAACTATGAGAGTCACCTCCTTTACTTTCTTTCCCAAGTTTCCTTAAAACCTACCCTAAGAAGGCATCCTCTTTTCCACAAATTACTGCCGTAAAATTGATGAGAATGGGACAAAGGCACCCCTAGACACTTAGAAAAGAGTGGAAAAAGGAGTGTTAGCCGTTCAGTTGTGTCCGACTCTGGAATCCCATGGACTGCAGCCCAGCAGGGCTCCTCTATCCACAGAATTCTCCAGGCAAGAATACAAAAGAATAAAGACTGCTATAAAGTCATTACTATCCCACAGATACTGAGGTTAGAGTTCTCTCAGCATCAATTTTGCTTCATACAATCTTTAAGTAACATTTATTACACATATATGTAATGTTTGAGAAGTTGGCAAAACAACTGGGGTTCAAAACCAGTTCAGTTTGAGGAAAAAAGCCCAACAACAAAACAAAACACATCCACACACAACTGGGGACCTTCTGAGCCACAACATTTACAAAGTTATTTCTTTCATGTTACTTAATAGCTTTAAGTACCTCAAATTCAGTTTTGCAAACATAAACTGATTTTTTTCCAGTGCTCAAATTCTGACCTTTGATACCTCAGCCCAATAAACTCTTCTGCAGAAGCTCCATTTTCCTTGGGCCACAGTGGCTAGAAGTGCCCTCATGGGACAAGTCAGACAAAAGGGACTTTCTTCTTTCAAGCATCCTATTCCCTCTGATTTTTGCTTGCTTTTTCCTCCAGTGTCTTCAAATAACTGGTTGGTTTTTTTTAATATTCTGTCCAGGGTTATCACTGCAATTAGCAGGGGGTTAGTCTGATATGATACTCCAGTATTACCAGAACTGAAACTCAACTTTATCAAATTTTAAAGGGCAGCCATTTTCTTCCATGTGGCTTCCCTCATAGCTCAGTTGGTAAAAGAATCTGCCTGCAATGCAGGAGACATGGGTTCAAGGCCTTGGTCAGCAAGATACCCTAGAGAAGGAAATGGCAACCCACTCCAGTATTCCTGCCTGGACAATTCCATGAACACAGGAGCCTGGCAGGCTACAGTCCATGGGTCGCAAGAGTTGGACACGACTTAGCAACTAAACTACCACCATTTTCTTCCAACCCTGTGCTCATTTCTTTCTTCCCCCAGAAAATATATGGCAGGTTAGAATGAGATATGATTTGGAAGCTAAATGCCTGCTTCATCCTGTGTTTCAGATCCACCTAAAAAAGCTGAACACAGCCCAGAACTCCCACAGGAATTAAGAATGTGGCTCAATACCAGAATCCATGAGTTCAAATCCCTAGGCCTGTCACTTTGAGCTGTGTGCTGCTGCTACCCCATAGACGGCAGCCCACCAGGCTCCCCCGTCCCTGGGACTCTCCAGGCAAGAACACTGGAGTGGGCTGCCATTTCCTTCTCCAATGCGTGAAAGTGAAACATGAAAGTAAAGTCGCTCAGTCGTGTCTAACTCTTAGCAGTGTAACCTTTGGCAAATTATATAACCTCTCTTAGATTCAGTTTCTCGGCTGTGGATAGGGAAAATAACAATTAAATCTATTTCACAGGGCTTTAAGAGGGGATTAAATGAGTTAGTGGCCTAAGCTTTTAAGTATTCAATATTCATTAGCCATTATATGATGATGATGGTGGTGGTGGTGGTGGTAGTGATGGCTACAAGTGCCAGCAAACTCCCATAACAACACCTCCTCTCTCGATACCAGCTCCTTCAGTAGTCATGAGTCCTGCCATTAACAGTTTAAACATGGAAACTCCAACATGTGCAGCAATCTCAGGAGTAAGTAACTCCTTAACTTCTGGCAAGTTATCACTCTGCTGCCCTGTTTGGGTAGAGATAAACTCACCTTTGTGGCCGATTTACAGAGAGCTGGAAGTAGTTCTTGGCCATTTCTAGCCTTTCTTGGTACTGAACAGAACCTTCCATCAGTCCCTAAAAAAATAATAATGCCCATGAGAACCTAATATAGATGGTATCATTAAAATAACCTGCCCACCAGCAACTTTCAGGGAGGCAGTATACAATACAGTACTAATATATTGTACAAAAATCATGAGGTCTGAGTCCTCATCCTTGTTTTGTCATGGATGTACAGTTTCTCCAAAAAAGGGACTAGGCTAAATGTAATGGGCCCTCATCCTTTTCACCATTTAGGGCCTCTTTCCAATTTGGGAGGTTTTCTATCATTTTCTATTATTTACTAGTAACTTGTTATAAAGAAACAATTGATTAACTAGCAACTAATTTATAAAACAAAGTACAAATAGAGCTCAAAAAATAGTGTAATCCTAACCTTAACTATCATTTCTACCTTTCACAGGCATGTTTATGATGGCATTTAAGCTTAATACTTTACATTCTTTAAAAATATACTATAATATAAGCAGTTTTCCATACCACTACACAATCTTTAAAATTATCATATTCTTAAGGACTTTTCTACTTCTTGGATGTTTCCTTGAAGTGTAGATTATTTAACATAAAGTTTCCCTATTTGCAAGGCAGGAACAGAGGCACAGACGTAGCGGATGACTTGTGAACACAGCAGGGGAAGCAGAGGGTAGCAGAAACTGAGACAGCAGCACTGACGTATACACACTACCGTGTGTGAAACAGGCAGCACAGGGAGCTCGGCTCTGCGCTCTGCGATAACCTAGACGGCTGGGGCTGTGCGGAGGAGGGAGGTTTAGCAGGAGGGGATAAACATACACTTAGAGCTGATTCATGGGTTGTACAGCAGAAACACAACATTGAAAAGCAATTATCTTCCAATTAAAAAGAACAATAAAATAAAGTGAAGGCTCCAAGTTTGAACTTCTGTATAATTCTTGGAATACAGTATCAAATTACTTTGCAGTTAAGGTTGCGACTATTACAATGTTATCAGCAATGTATAGGTGTACTATTTTCACTATATTTTCAGTAGTGCTGAATATCTTTCATATGCTTTTTACATAAGTGAAAAATGGTCTTTATTATTGTGTTAATATACATATCTTTACTATGTGTGAGAGTGATTATTTTAAGAGAAATTTACTAGTTCCCTTTTTGTAATTTTTTTTTATTGGAGCATAGTTGCTTTATACTGTTGTGTACGTCGCCGTACAGCAAAGTGAATCAGTCATACATCTACTTACATCCCCCTTTTTGGGGCTTTCCTTCCCATTTAGGTCATATAATTTTTTAATCTATATCTTTGCTAATTTTTCTATTTGGTGTCTTCATGTTTGCTTCATAGATTTGAACAAGTTATTCATCTGATACAAATAATAACTTTTATCACTTTGTATAGATGTTATTAATTTTTCTAAAATATTAGAAACAGTTTATAGACACTCCCTTATTACCACCAAACTAGAATGGTCCCTCTTAACTCTAGTTCTTACAATTATGTTACACATTAAATATGGACCTAACACTTCAGATCACGGGCTTGATTTTGCCTGGACTGTACAATTTAAAGAGTGCATAGTAAGTCCTACCTTAAAGTAATCATTCTTTTTCAGACTTTCAAGGAAGCCAGCCCAGAGTGGTGATGTAGTCACAAGGGATTTTTTGGAGTCAGAAAAATGTGGGCTACATTTGGAACATAAGATCTCAAATCCATGAGCCTACATGGAAAAGATAGAATTTTTATTATTAGGTTACTTTCTTTCTATTTAACCACACTTAAGAACTAGGTGACTGGACATATGGGTATGTGAACATTTTAATATTCTTTAAATTTTATGAAAAAAATATGACTTTAATTCCAAGTTTCTTAATCTCTACAGATTACTAAAAATTATAAAGGGGAAGTAAATATCAGAAAACAAAAAATTCTTATTTTCCTGGAAGAGATTTCTCTTCTCACTGATTAAAAAACTAGAAATTTAAACTTGCTTCTTGCTTGCTTAAAAAAGGTTGCAAAAGGTTTCTTATCTAACACAATTATAAATGAATTACACATGGTCTTAGGAATAGTAAACAGAGGGAATCACTTCATTTTAAGAGTCCTTTGATTAAAAAATATAGTAAATGCACATGGCAAAATAATTCTAATAGGGAGCTTCCCTGATTACTCTGGAGAAAACTACTGCCGAAAATTCTTTGCATATCCTTTCAGAAGTAATCTTTGCACTCAGGCAGATATGTGGGTGTGTGAATACAAATATCCTCCTACTTCATCCCCTTCATCACTAAATGGCAACATACACACTGCTTTGAACCTTGCTTTTCTCTTAATGATATGCCCTGGAGATGATTTCATATAAACACATACATTTATCCATCTCATTTCATGAACAGACCATAATTTATTTTCCAATCTTTTGCTACTATAAACAATGCTTTCACGAGTATCTTCATACGGCTTTGTGCACAAGTAAAATATATGGAGGATAAATTTCAGGAAATGAAAATGCTGAGCAGCAGGGTTTGTGCATTTTAAATATTATGGAAAGTGATAAATTGTTCTAAGAGACTGAATCAACTCATATTCCTATCAATAATGTTTGAGGGTATTGCTTTACATATTTTTACAAACCTCATATTTGTTATCAAACTTCTGGATACTTGTCAATCAAATGGTGAAAAACATTACTTTGTAGTTTTAAATTGCATTTCCTTTATTATGAGCAAGTGTCAACATTTTTCATAAAAATAATTTGTATTTCCTTTTCTCTGAACTATCTGTTAATGGTTTCTGATCATTTTTGATTGATTACTATTTTTTTCATCTTGAATTGCAGCAGTGCTATATACTAGATAAAGCAACTTTTGTCATTTACTAGTTTTTTTTTAACTCTTTGTCATTTAAACTGCAAATATATTTTACACTTTCTCCAGGTTAACTGTATTTTGACTATATTTATGGGTTTTTTCCATATAGAAATGTTTAATTTTTATATAATCAAATTTATCAATCTTTTCTTTTATTGTTACCAGTTTCAAGTCATGCTTAGGAAGGACTTTCTTACTCATATTTTCATAAATTTTCCTATGAAAAATTTTCCAAATTTTATTATTTTGTTTTCTTCATTTAAATATTTGGTCCAACTGGAATTTATTTTGGCATAGATGTGATACCCAACTTTTCAGATGGACACACAGTTCTATCATCCCTTACAGAATAATCCATTTTTCCTTATTTCAAATACCACATCTTACTACATTCTCACGTTAATAGAGTGTATTTCTAGATTTCTAAGTTGTGTCATTACTCTGTGAAGAGCCCTTTGATGTTAAGGAAGAAAATTAAATCTTCTGGTTCAACATTACCAACTTCATGCCCAATTCATGGGCTCGGTACTGGGGATGACATGGAGGAGGCAGCTTGTATCCACTCCGCCGGTCTGGCACAAACCTTTGTTGCACCAACTGTGCATACAGACATTTAGTGAAAGTGACCTGGACATTGGGAAACAAAATATGTGAGTGTCTTCCTAAAATTAAAATGCCTGACTATCATTTCACAGTTAACAACAAAAACTTCATTTATGAGCTTCATATTCAGATAAATGCAAAGAAGACTCAACCTATTTACTGTCTACATTTTTTAGTAACAGCTTTACAGGATATAATTCACACACCATAAAATTTACCTTCACTGTCTATATTTAGTTGTCACTAAGGTAACTCAAATCATTAGTTACATAACATGGCAATTTTGGCAGGTAGATGATAAAGAATAATTCTTAATTCTCTGGAGGAAATGAAATGTTTTATTGCTAAAAGATATAATTGCTCAAATAGGGAAAATTTGGTCAGAAATAGCTAGGAAACATTGAGATATAAAATAGGAAGTCAGGTCTCTTGCAGTCTTCCTCTTCTGGATAGGAGAAAAGAAAAAATCAAGGATATGACACCAGTCAATCCTAAACGAAATCAACCCTGAATGTTCATTGGGAGGACTGGTGCTTTAGTTGAAGCTCCAATACTTTGGCCACCTGATGTGAAGAGCCAACTCACTGGAAAAGACCCTGATGATGGGAAAGATTGAGGACAGAAGGAGAAGGGAGCAACAAAGGATGAGATGGTTGGATGGCATCACCAACTCAATGGACATGAGTTTGGGCAAACTCAGAGGGATAGTGAAGGACAGGGAAGCCTGGCGTGCTGTAGCCCATGAGATCGCAAAGTTGGACATGACTTAGCAACTGAACAATAACAAAAAGTCTATATTCACTTGCTATGAGGACACAGAATATTCCCAATTTTTTCCTAGTGAACAATTAAAATAATGTTCAATATTCTTTTCAGTGAGAGAAACTAAATGACCAAGAGAGCTATCTTACCGATGTCATTATTCGTGTTTCAGGCAAGAATGTCTTGAAAATACGACAGGCTCGCAGGTCAATGGGGTCCCGGAGGTAAAATGCCTGGACTCCTGCAGCCACCAATCTGGGGTGCTGCTTCAGCACTGCTGCAATGCCAGCTGGGAGGAAGCAGTGTGCTTGATGAAGGGAGGCTTTAATTTTTTCTGGGTACCTGTGACAGGTAACATAATCACTTTTATTTTATGATATGACAGAGTTTATTTTCCTGGGCTCCAAAATCACTGTAGATGGTGACTACAGCCATGAAATTAAAAGACGTTTACTCTTTGGAAGAAAAGCTATGACCAACCTAGACAGCATATCAAAAAGAAGAGACATTACTTTGCAACAAAGGTCTGTCTAATCAAAGCTATGGTTTTTTCAGTAGTCATGTATGGATGTGAGAGTTGGACCATAAAGAAAGCTGAGCACCGAAGAATTGATACTTTTCAAGTGTGGTGTTGCTGAAGACTCTTGACAGTCCCATAGACTGCAAGATCAAACCAGTTCATCCTAAAGGAAATCAGTCCTGAATATTCACTGAAAGGACTGATGCTGAAGCTGAACCTCCAATATACTTTGGCCACGTGATGTGAAGTACTGACTCATTATAAAAGACACTGATGCTGGGAAAGATTGAAGACAGGAGAAGGGGACGTCAGAGGATGAGATGGTTGGATGGCATCACTGAGTCAATGGCCATGAGTTTGAGCAAGCTCCAGGAGCTGGTGATGGACAGGGAAGCCTGGTGTGCTGCAGTCCACGGGGTCACAAAGAGTCAGACATGACTGAGCAGTTGAACCGAACTGAACTGATGTAAATATTTAGGATTCTTATACCATTCACTTTCCTCTTAACATTTTATCTTGTCTTGGTTCATCAGGAGTAAAATGAGTGAGATGAAAAGAATGACAACTCTCTTGTCACCCTTGGGAATTCCTTGGTGGTCCACTGGTTAGGATTCGGTGATTTCACTGCCAGCAACAACCCAGGTTCACTCCCTAGTTGGGGAACTAAGATTTCCATGCTGAGTGGCAAAAAAAGTAACTGTTTAAAAAAGATACTCTATATACTAAAGACTACAGGTAGGAAAAGAGAGAAAGAAAAAGTGAAAGAAATAGAAAATAAAGAGAAGGGATTAAGGTGGTCCAATAAGAAAAAAATGAAAACGTTACTACCATACTTTGAAAAGAAATTCAGAATTTATTCTCCTAAAAAATGGTGCAAAGTGTACTGAAGCAAAGCTAAAAGAGATTATTATTTAATACTGTTATGATCTGAACAGTACTAAACATTTAACAGGTACTCAAATTTGAATGGCTGAACTAATACATTATTAGACTGAGGTGTTCTCTTCTGAGTAGAACCTAACGCGCTCCAACTAAGTCAGGGAATCTCATATATTCACCCAGAATCAGAGAAAAATCCTGAACAGACTGTGCTCACTCATATTTTCATCTCTAAAGGTCTGAAAATTTTTATCTATGGATCTACATAATAGTTAGCTACACTCTCTAAGGTAAATAAATGCAAAAACACTGGGCCTATAACCTTCAAATGGCAACTAAAAGATACATCTGTTTCTCGATTTTAAAACATATTAAGTTTAATTTGCTGGTCAATTTCACAAAGGATGAAGACAGAATGAAAATCAGCACTAATCTAGGTGAAAGAAATGCTTAGATTCAACAAAAGACGAGCAACAGGAAGTCAAAAGGCTCCTTGACTGGCAGTGAAAGTGTCAGTTTTCTTACCCTCTGATGCGTCTGTTCACAGCAGCTCGTACAGATTCTGAAGCCAGAATTTTTTCTGGGTGTGTTGAGATTATACTCAGTGATTGTGAGATTGTCGGGGGTGTGGTAGGTAACCAGGATACTGTTCCAGATTTCTTTGGTGCAGGAATAATGCACAACTCCCCTTGGTGGAAAAATACCTGCAAAGTGATATAGTTTCCATACTTGGCACTGACAAAATCCAGGTACAAATGAAAATGATGCAACATGGTTTCACCTCTGTAAATTTTCTAAACTTGGATATACTTACCCTGTTGGCACTATTATCAGGATCCAACCATCTAGGGAGAAACTCAGCAGCTTCTATTAACAAGAATTCACCGTCATTGTCTTCAATCCTAACACAAAAGAAATTTCAACTTTGAATTAAAAGAAGTGCATATTTGCTAATAATCAAAACAGACTTGTTCTAATACATTTTTGCCCTAATCTTAGTAAATAAATATATGAGTAAATACCAGAGATTTCTATAATTATGTAGATTTCTATAATTAAGCAAAATGTTTTAAGATACCATTAAGTACTGAAGGGATAGTCTATAATTGTAAGGAGGAATTCGAGAGTGATAAGGAGAAAAAAAATAAGTACATAAATAAATAGCAGTAGAAAAAAATGTGAAAAATATACCAAGTACATAGGTCTTCAAAAGGAAAAAAAAATCACATACCGCCAAGATTAGGAAAACCTTTATGGAGGAAGTACTACTGGGCCCTGAAAGATACTTTTGTTTTGCCTCATCTGCATCACTTTTTAAAAATTTATATTTCTGAGGATGTAATACAGTCACATGATTAAAACAAAAAAATACATAAATAGTTATGTCTCTTATAAATGAAAAAGTCTCCTTGCTACTTTTGTATCTATATGCCCAACCTCTCCACCATTGTTACTTCTTGTCTATACTTCTAGAGTTTGCTTATGTGTAAAGTAGTCAATAGGAATATAAATCTTTTTCTTCTCCTGTTGCATGAATGTTAGCACAATATATATATTGTCCCAGATTATTTTCACTTTTAATGGGTGGAGATACAACATATCCAGAAAAAGAGAGATGCTCTGGGGAGTGGGAACAGCATAAGCAAAACTATGGAGGTGGCACTTAAGGTAGAGATTTGAAGACTGATAACAAATTTTTTAAAAAAAGGACTAGAAAAACACAGTTATATCATTTTGTGAAGAGCTTTAAATGGTGGCAGAATCCAGTGAGAATGAGCTTAATTTTATAAACAAAACAAATGAAATGTTTTAGAGTAGGGAAGTAAAATGGTTTGAGTTCTACTTTAAGAATATTAATCTGGCAGAGACATAGAGGAAAAACTTCTTTCTTTTTCTAATTAAAAAAAAAAAAACCTGACAAGACAGTACATGCTTATTAAAAGAGCTTTAGAGGCCTAGTGGGTCAGTATGACCCATCACTGCATATATAAATATCAGAATCAGCATTTGAAAGGCACTGCCCCCTCCTTATTATCCTAGTAAAGACATAAATTACCATATTTGTGCCTGTTTATTGAAAATTCTACCATTTATTTAAAAAGTATGGCTACCTATTTGTAGGTGTGGTAATAGTAATGGTGCATTATCTCTTAAGTTTACATCCTAAAGTATTTAAAAATCAAATGGTATAATATTGGAGGTTTGTTTTAAAACAGTCTTCCTTCTCTGGTGGCTCAGTTGTTAAGACTCAGTCTACCAATCGGGAGATTTGGGTTCGATCCCTGATCCGGGAAGATTCCATATGCTACAGAGCAACTAACTTGGGAATGACAAAGAATTATCAGTTCCCATAATATTTTAAAATTTGAATTACAATGCATTATTATCTACTTTGCTTCCTATCCATACAATTGTTCACTGATGTCTCTTTAAATTTCTTCTGTATATAGTTTCTCAAAAAAAAAAAAATAGAGCTATAGAGGAAGACATAGAGAAATCTGTGAAATACATTATATATATAGGTATATATATATGAATTTCTTTTTTTAAGACATAGAAATTTGATAGTGATTACTTTTGGGAAATCAGAGCAGAACACCCTTTGGTATTGCTTGGATTTTATTTACCAGGTGTACTTGCTCTCTCATAACAAGAATAAAAAAAGAAGAGAAAACCTAAACTAAACAGGTTTTGTGTGAAATTTTTTGGAAGTTAAACTCTCAGATGATACTTTAACTCTTCTTTAAGAAAAGGAAGTCATCAGCAAAAAGGAAGAAAACACAGAAATCACATTTAAAACCTACATCTGTGTGTGTGTGTGTGTGTGTGTATACATCTTCCTCCCTCAAGAGCCTCCCTCCCTTTCCCTTACTCCATCCCTCTAGGTCATCACAGAGCACGAGGCTGGGTTCCCTGTGTTATATAGCAACTTCCCAGTATCTATCTATTTTACACAAAGTAGTGCATATATGTCAATGCTACCGTCTCAATTCATCCCATCTTCACGTTCCCGCACTTTGTCCACAAGTCTGTTCTCTACTAGGTTCATCAGTATCATTTTTCTAGATTCCATACATATGCATTAATATGATACTTGTTTAAGAATTATTAATAAGACTATAATACCTTGCTACTAACTCTGGAAATTCTTTTGTAATTTGCTTCACTATATAAACAATAAACCATTCATCCTCAATGTTATCCCCAAACTTTGTCATGCCAAATAAATGTGCAGGAACATCTCCTAAAAACAAGAGAAAAGCAATGATATAATCAAATAAATTTGTCAGTTCAAATGAAAGTACAAGCAATCATTCAATTAAACAAACTTTTATTGACTGGCTCTGCTCCAGGAGTATGGCCATATACCGGGAGCTGGGGTTGCAATCCTGAACAAGATAGAAGAAGCTTACTCTTGAAGAGCTTAGAGTCTGGACAACAGGAGATAGATAACCAATTACAAAACAAGATGATCAATGGAGGTATACACTGAGGGCTACGTGGTCATAAAGTATGTGATATCTGAGCTATGCTCTTCTGGAGGAATGACCACAGCAGGCTTTCCAGAAAGAGAGAACAGAACACGTGCATGTGGAAAGACACAGAGGCATAACAGACAACTGTGTGTTCTGGGAGTATCAGCAGAAATTTTCAAACAAGTGCACTATCCAAAAATACGTAGAACTTAAACAATATACTCAGATAGCCAAGGGGTCAAAGAAGAAGTCGTAAGGGGAATTAGAAAACATTGGGAGATGAATGAAAACCAGGGCTTCCCTGGTGGCTTAGACGGTCTACCCACAATAGAGGAGACCCAGGTTCAATCCCTGGGTGGGGAAGACCCTCTGGAGGAGGAAATGGCAACCCACTCCAGTATTCTTGCCCAGAGAATTCCATGGACAGGTTACAGTCCATGGGGTTGCAAAGAGTCGGACATGACTAACCAACTAACACTTTCACTTTAACACTTTCAATGAAGATCAATACAACAAACCAAGCATATGGGATACAGTGAAAGCGGGGCGAGGACAAAGTTTACAGTTATAAAAGATCTCAGATCAACAACCTAGCTTTATACATTAAGGAACTAGAAAAAGAAGAACTAAACTCAAAGCTAGAGGAAGGAAATAATGAAGATTAGAGCAGAGATCAGTGAAATAGAGAATAGGAAAACAATGTTTTAAAAAATCAACTAAACTGAGTTGGTTTGTTTAAAAGATCAACAAAATTGACAAAACATTAGATTAACTAAGAAAAACAGACTCAAATAGCTAAAATCAGAAATGAAAGAGGGAATATCAACCACCTATGCCACCGAAATAAAAATTATAAGAAAACACAATGAACAACTGTACACCAACAAACTGGATAACTTCAAAGAAATGCATAAATTCCTGGAAGCACACAACTTATCAAGACTGGAACACACAGAAGTAGAAAACTTGTATGTATCTATAATAGTAAGGAAAGTGAATTCATAATCAGAAACTTCTCAACAAAGAAAAGCCCAGGACTAGATGACTGCACTGGAAAACTCTATCAAACATTTAGAGAAGAATTAACATAAAAAAAAAAAAAAAAACTGAAGAGGAGGAAACATTCCCAAACTTATTTTATGAGGCCAGCACAAGCCAACAAACACTTGCAAACTACTTCAACAACATGTTAAAAGGATTGTACACCATGACCAAGTGAGATTTATTCCTGGAATGCAAGGATGATTTGACACAGGAAAACCAACCAATATACTATATTAACAGAATGAAGGTCAAACAAGTGTACTGTGGAGTGTCTCAAGAGTTGCCCTGGCAAAAAAAAAGGCCACACAATGTAATATACCATATTAACAGAATGAAGCTCAAACAAGTGTACTGTGGAGTATCTCAACAGTTGCCATAGCAAGAAAAAATGCCAGCCAGGGCAGACAAACTGCCCCACCCACCCCTCTCCCTACTCCGGGTCTCCCAAGTTTCTTCAACTAGAGAAGCTCCAGTTAGAATGCCTTCATTTTTATCTACCTCACATATTAACGGCTTCCCTTGTGGCTCAGCTAGTAAAGAATCCTCCTGCAATGAGGGAGATCTAGATTCGATCCCTGGGTTGGGAAGATCCTCTGGAGACGAGAAAGGCTACCCACTGGAGAATTCTCTGGCCTGGAGAATTCCATGGGGTCACAAAGAGTCGGACATGACTGAGTGACTTTCACTTTTCATATTAAACTTCAATTTCAATTTCACCCAGAAGCAATGCAGAACTGTTGGAGGGTGTTAGGCAGGAGAGTGACAAGATCAAATTCGTTTTACAAAGGTAACTGTCAACACTGTCAGGAACTGGAGCCACTGGGACCAGACAGATTAGTTAGGGGCCACCTTAGTCTTCCAGATGAAGAGGGCCTAGACTGTAGCCAAACAGATGTGAGAAAGGGTCAGATTTCAGGAGTAATAACAGTAGGATTTAGTGCCTGTGGAACATGGTGAAGTGAGGTTGTGAGGATGATTTTGAATTACTAACAAGCCTGACTACTAGGTGGATAGTAATATCATTAAGCAAGACAAGAAAACACTGTGTAAAAATTATTTTCGAGAAAAAAGATAGGGAATTCGTTTTGGCCGTGCTCTGTTAATGGGACAGTGTTCTTGCCAATAAGTATCACATGTATCAGTGATAAGGCAGTCAATAAAATTAACGTTTTACATTTGGCAACTGCTAGCCAAAAGGTAACAGAAGCACTAAAATGAGAGCCAGAATGAAGGAATCACAAGATGTCAGGCTCCTGATATGAAATAAGACCCCACAGAAGATGCTGTGCATGAGTAGAGCCTTGGTAAGTTATCCATGACTCACTTTAGTAAAGTTATAAGAAATGAGATGACAAAGTGCCATTATTTGGCCACAGGTCAGATCTGAAGCACCGACAATATAGGAAAGCAGTGAAGGAATGTCTAAATTCTTCTGTGTAGAAAATAGTGGTTATTTAGCTCAATTATTTCTCTTTATAAGCCAAGCAGAGCCACTCTTAGACCCTTAGCAAAACAACTGTATGAAACAAGGCAGCCTAGTAAACACACTATCAAGACAGGAATACAGAGTAACAGCTGAAAGAACTATGATTAAAGAAGCCAGCCTGAACCTGTTCAGTGTAGGTACCAGATATACGATGGCACAGTAAAGTTCAAAAGAAAAGCCATGGCTTGATAATGCTGAGTATATATTAGTTTCTAAGATAATGACTGTTAGAAAGCTTTCATCAACACAAATTTTTTTTTTTTTAATTTTTTTAAGTTCAAGAGCTTAACTGAACTTCAGCAAATACCATTAACAGTTCAGGATATAAATCTCCTGACAACACTGAATGAACTGTGGACTATTACCCATCACTGGTGTCAGAAGGACGTTAAAAGTCACATGTATCAAAGCAAAATAAGCAAAAGAACCTTACCTTTCCCAGGTTTATATCTGAGATTGAAAGGCTGATTCTGCCAGATATAGGGGACCAGTATAGGTGCAAACTGGGTCATTATCCTCTCAATGTACTTTTGAAGGATCTCTCTGTGTTCTTCTGGGTCCCCTCGTTTATCTGGTATCAGGAACAGGCGATACTCTACGGTGTCTTCCACTGTAGCAAACTTCATATTTTCCTCCATTCTTCTTTGAAAGTTACATTTAAAGTTTCAATAATATAAACCATATAGAACAATGTAGAAGTAATATCCTAGTCCCTGAACTATGCTAGGCAATTCCATTAACATTGTTTCCCCAAATTCAGTGATTCACATACCATCATCATGATTTTTGCATTGACCACATACCAACTATAGTAACACTTATTTAATATTCTTTTAATGACAGTTTTATACTTACAATTATATTAAAAGAACTTTTAATATACAATAAATGGCAATCCAATACCACATTCCCAAACTAATAAATAAGCATTAAGAATAAAATAAAAAATGTTTGCCCTTGCATTATCAGTGGTGTATATAACACACTTTCAGAAACACTGCAATAACATCTTTTGAAACACTATCAAAAGTCCCAGATCTGCCAAAAGTCCGAGTTGTGTTCTGGACATTTCACTTTCTCTTTCTGTGGCTTTTCCCTTAACTGGAGAATGAGACTGTTATCTATCATCTCTATAATCCTTCCCTAGAGAGAAGGCAATGGCACCCCACTCCAGTACTCTTGCCTGGAAAATCCCATGGACGGAGAAGCCTGGTAGGCTGCAGTCCATGGGGTCGCTAAGAGTCAGACACGACTGAGCGACTTCCCTTTCACCTTTCACTTTCATGCATTGGAGAAGGAAATGGCAACCCACTCCAGTGTTCTTGCCTGGAGGATCCCAGGGATGGCGGAGCCTGGTGGGCTTCCCTATATGGGGTCGCACAGAGTCGGACACGACTGAAGCGACTTAGCAGCAGCAGCAGCAGTTAAATTTTTAATATTTAAATGTTCTTAAGCACAATCTCCCTTACTCTGCAGAATTTAAATCTTTCCCATTGTGTGGGATAGAGGAATTCAAAACTACAAAACATTCATTCCTATCATTTCACGCCCAAATAATCTGCCCATGGCTCTTGATCCTACAACTATCTGTTCTAAATATTCCCCCTTTTCAGGTTTCAGAGGTATAGCTCTGGTATATTAGGAGGTTGTGAATAACTATTTTCTAAAGGTTTCGCTTACATACAAAAGTACTAGTTCACTATTGTTGCCAGGTGAGGCCTAGTAAAAGAAAAAACTGCTCTGGATTGTCCACTTCACGGCTGCAATTCGATTTTCAGACTTGTTTTTCTAACGGATTAGTAAAATGAGGTCCAGGGGAACTTGCATCTACTATCCAGACACTCTTTCACTACAGACCGTCCAAATTATCATTTGGCCTTTTCCAAGTGCCTGCGTGCTAAGTCGCTTCAGTCGTGTCCGATTCTTTGAGACCCTATGGATTGGGAATTCATGGTACTCTCCAGGCAAGAATACTGGAGTGGGTTGCCATTTCCTTCTCCAGGGGATCTTCCCGACCCGGGGATCGAACCTGGGTCTTCCCCACTGCAGACAGATTCTTTACCATCTGAGCCACCAGGAAAGCCTTATTATGAAGAATTTAGTGACAGGGCTAGAAGGGACTTATGAGACCACGCAGGCTAAATCCACACTGTATATATGAGAAAACTGGGAGCACAACAAGAGGAGCAACCAAGCAACAGAGGCCTGGCTTGGAGTCTAGGGGCTCTTTACTCAGACTAGGCTCTCTCCTTCACCCAACAAAATGAAGCAAATTCCGCTTACGGTTCTGGGCCTGGGCCTCTTCGGCAAGTCTCTGTTACAGCACCTTTCTTCAGCCGTCTCCTACCTAGTGAGCTGGTGGGGAACTGTCAGCAGTACACACAGCCTGCCCCAGGCTAGGTCCACACGTTCGTCTGGAACCAGAACCAGAGGAAACTCCGAAAGTCAGAAAGGACTCGGCCTCGGAACCCCGGGCCGTCGTCCCGAGGCACGTCGGCGGAAGCATTAGGAGAGTGCTCCTGTGATATCGTCACTTCCGCCCCCACGGGGAAGCCGGAAGACTAGGGAGGTGGGGACCCTGGGAAAGTGGCGGTCTGGAGCCTAGGAAACGGGGCGTGACGGGGCCGGAAGGTGGCGGGAGGGGGCCGAGCCGGAGCGGGCGGGAGGGCCAGGCCTGGAGGCCCCCACCCTGGCTTCTCCGCCCCCGCCGCGGCTGAGGAGGAAGAGGAGGATGACCTCCAGATACACTAGGAAGGCGGTGCCACAGAACTTGGAGTTGTGAGTGAATTGCTCAGCTACTCCAGCCCGGGCCGGGGGGTGCCGAGGAGGGTCGCAGGCGCTGTGGGGACCCTCCCTGCCCAGTCCCTTGCTCCTTTTACCTTTCCCAGGGTGAGGGAAAAGAAAATCTTCGGAATTCTCTCCTACCAGCTTTGCCGGACGTTGGCCCTTCTGTTTCCTTCTCCAGCTAATAAGGGCGTGTTACTTGTGCTGTCCCAGAAACTTGGTGTTTGGCCTGCACTTCTTGAGCTTAGGGACTTGGTTTCCTAAGCCATTTTGTAGTTTCCATGTGTTCTATGCCCCAGTGTCAATAGCCACTGACAAACTCGTGAAGCTAATAGCTGAGTGGTACAAGAAAGATGAATACATCTGGTGTTAACCACAGTGCAAAGCTACGTATATGCATTAGCTCACAACTCTATTAATAAGGATACCAGATAGGAACTATTATTATTTTGCACAGATAAAGATCCCAGGTTAAAGGTTGTAGCATGCCAGAGATCACACAGCCAGAAGGTGGTGGAGCTGAAGTATAAACCTGTTGTCTGATTTTGAAGCTTGTGGTCATAACCATTACACATAACTGCCTCCCCACCTCTGCAACTTAGTGTCAGAATCCTTGAGGATCAGTTTTGCTTTTGAGACTTTAGAGAGCAAGTGTGCTGTGTGCTAAGTCACTTCAGTCTTCTCCAACTCTTGGAGACTCTCTGGATCACCATAGAGGCTCCTTGGTTCATGGGATTTTGCAGGCAAGAGTACCGGAGTGGGTTGCCATGCCCTCCTCCAAGGAATCTTCCCGATGCAGGGATAGAACCTGGGTTTCCCGTATTGCAGGAAGATTCTTTACCATCTGAGCCACCAGGGAAGCCCAGAGAGCAAATATTTCTGGCTTAAAGATCCACCTCCCACCCTAGTGAAATGTTGTAATTTAGGAAGTAATGATAATGTCACACATTTGTTAATACTTTATACTTTCAAAAATACTTTCACATCTTCATTCTTGTGACAACTCTGTAAGATGAGTATGATTATCTTCAGTTTTTCAGCAGATGAAATATAAGAAAGGTACACACCTTAAGATTATATAACCAATAGGTTTTGAGCTTGGACTTTCAACCCCAAATACCAATTTTTTTCCTCCACTGAACTGTGTAATTTTAACAACCATACATTTATTAATTAACTATTTTCTATACAGAGTAATAACAGGCATGGTATTTTCAGTCACATCTGGGTTTCTGTTTAGACTCTTTTCTAGCCTTATTAATTTTAGGCAAATTACTAAATTTTTGAGCTTTCACTTCTGTAATATAGGCTAAGACCTTATCTAAAAGTATATCTAAAAGTGATGGCATAGAGCTTGACACATAGTAAGTCCTCACTAAGTAGTAATTTCCTTGTCCCTTCCCACTTCTATTTGGTATAATAGCCATACAAGAAAATCAGTCTATGATCTTTCCTTGCCTTTCAGAAGCTTTTTATCTATTAAAAAATAGGATAGAACACAGAAGCAACTCAGTTAAGCTTTTTAGGAACTAGGAAGAAGAAAGTCATTTCCCAATCTAGGGAGCAGGGCTTAGCCAAAAACCTGCTTTTATAATTAATTCTGACCATTATGAGAGTGAAAAAAAAGTATCATTTACAGAAAAAAAATTGTTGATTGCACTTATTGGACCGGAACTATTGACCTAGTGTGTTGTTGTTGTTACTTAGTCATCTGACTCTTTTGCAACCGCATGGACTGTAGCCCACCAGGCTCCTCTGAACATGGGATGTCCCAAGCAGGAATACTGGAGTGGGTTGCCATTTCCGTCTCCAGGGGATCTTTCTGACCCAGGGATCAAACCTGCATTCTCTGCCTTGGCAAGCGGATTCTTTACCACTGAACCACCTGGTTATATTACTTGTTCTCTATTGTTGATTTCATACTCCCTAAAGATAACTCTTCCAAAAGATGATTCTCTAGAAGTGTCAGAATAATGTGAATAATGACAATAATGAAGACTATATGTGTTTAAATGCCAGTATATTAAAGGTACTTTTCCCTTTTTGTGTTATAATGATAATTTGCCTTGAAGAACTAACTTTAGTTTTCTAATAGTTCCAAATTATAGATATTAAAAAGATTTTGGCATAAGTATACAGCTTAACATTTTTTAAATGATAAATCTCAAGCATAACTGTATAGTGAATAATATAATGACCTACCCATCACCTACATTAAACAGTTATCAAAATTTTAATATATTTGCTTCATATTTCATCTGTATATTTTTTCAGCCTGTCATCTGTGAAATATTGGAAAACCCCAGACATCATCATTTCACCCCATATGCTTCATTACGCATTTCTAAAAATTATATACATTTTCTTTTTTAATAACCATAAACCTATGATCAAAGTTAATATATCTTTCAGTATTATCTGACTGTTACTTCACAACCAGATTTCTCTGACAGACTAAAATATGTCTTAAGTTTCTATTTCATGGCTGGAATCCACATTTCTGATCTCCACTACTGTTTCAAGGACAAGCTTTTGGTTATAAGATCATTGAATGAGAGAAGAAGAAAGCTCTCCACAAATTCAGCTCCACCATTTGAGAAATAATTTTTTTTTTTGAGAAATAATTTAAAGTACAGGATCTGCTGAGTAGGTCTTTATCTTTATATACAAAAATGGTACAATTTATTAAAATCTCAAACTATTCATTTGCTCTGAGCAGCCACAGACAGACTATTGGATTTGAATCCTGTCTCCATCACTTACTAGCCATATGACCTTAAGCAAGTTACTTAATCCTTCAGTGCCTCACTTTCCTTTCTTGTGAAACAAGAGTATTACATTTATAATACACATTTGCATATTAAAAGTCCTGGGAAAACCTATTGTAAACAAACGTGTAACTTTGTTTAACCTATCAAATTATTTGACTACAGAATTTTGTGGGGAAAGAAAGTCTACTCTAGATGATTAGGACTGGAACACACAATAATTGACCCCACAGTTTATTCTGAGGCTTCCCTAGTGGCTCAGATGGTAAAGAATGTGCTTGCAGTGCGGGAGACCCAGGTTCGACCCCTGGGTTGGGAAGATCCCCTGGGGAAGGGAGTGGCTACCCACTCCAGTATTCTTGTCTGGAGAATCCATGGACAGGGGAGCCTGATGGGCTACAGTCTGTAGGGTCGAGAAGAGTCAGACACAACTGAAGCAACACTTTCACTTTTTTCATAGTTTATTCTAATACACATGTTGAACTCTCTAGAACAGCACTGTCCAATAGAAATATAATACAAAACACATAACTTAAAATTTTCAGATACTCACATTAAAAAATAGTAGAAACAGGTGAAATTAACTTTTTAATCTTTTTATTTTTAAGTATGGACTTACAGGAAGTTACAAAAATAGTACATAGAGTCCCATGAACCCTTCACTCAGATTCCCCCAATGATGACAACTTATGTAACTCTCAAAGCCATGAAACTGACATTGGTACAGTACTGTTAAGTAGACTATAAACCTTACTCAGTTTTCATCAATTTTCATATCCACTCTTTTGTGTATGTATATGTATACATAGTTCTATGCAATTTGGTCTCATTTATATATTTATTTAACCACCAGTGCAATCAAGATACAGTGCTCTTCTATCACCACCAAGAAACATCCTTACATACCCCTTTATAGTCACATCCATTCCTTTCTCCATACCCTGGAACCACTAATCTTTTCTTCATCTCTGTATTTTTCTCATTTGTGAATGTAATATAAATAGAATCATATAGTGTATGTAACCTTTGCAATCCATCCAAGTTGTTGCATGTATCAATTCACTCCTTTTTATTGCTAAATCATATTCCACTGTGTGTGTAGAGATACCAAAGTTTAATTATTCACCTGTGAAAGGACATTTCAGTTCTAATTTTTTTCAATTTTAAATAAAGCTGCTTTGAATGTTTGTGTACAGATTTTGTGTGAACATAAATTTTCATTTCTCTGGGATTAAATACCTAACAGTGCAATGGGTAGGTCTTATGATAAATGCATGCATTTAGTTTTATAAGAAGCTGTGAAATTATTCCAGAGTGGTTATACCATTTTACATTCCTACCAGCAATGTATGAGAAATCCAGTTTCCCCATATCTTCACCTGCATTTAGTGTTATCACTGTATTTTATCTTAGCTGTTCTAATAAGTGTGTTTTATACATTATTATGTTTTCAATTTGCAGTGAAATAAGTTTTAATATATTTTGTTTAACCCCTGTATATCTGGAATATTATCATTTTAACATGTAACCAAAATAATTAGTGGTACATTGTACATTATTGTTGTACTAAGACTTCAAAATCCTGTGTGTTTTACACTTAAAAGTCTATCTCATTTCCAACTGACCACATTTTAACTGCTAGTGGCTAATGGCTATTGCATTAGACAGTGCACTTCCTGAACAGCAAGAATTAGGTGACTTAGCTTGTAGATCAAGTTACTGAAAAGTATATTTTTTCTTTACAAAAAATATAACTTTTTCCATTTCACAGGAAAGGAGTAACAAAACATGCTCTTAATCATCATCCTCTTCCTGAGCAACTGGATGAAATTTCCTCTACCAATGACAGCCATGAAAAAGACATAAGTTCCCAAAGGTAATGACACAAAGTGTACTATTCGCTTATTTCACTTGATAATGGCAAAAGTTTTGGGGTTTTTGCGTTAGGATTGGTATCAAGCCTTGTACTA